ATTTAACAGGGTATCTGAAGCCCTCACAAATTAAGGAGAGGTTGACTGGGCGGGGGGGATTTTTTTATCTTCTTTTTTTCCTTCCCTCCCCCCTTTTCTTTTTCTCTTTCCCCTTATCTCTGCCCCTTTTCCCTTCCTTCTTGCCCTTTTTCCCTCCTCTTCCCGTTTTCCCTTTTCTCTTCCTCTTTTCCCTTTTCCCCTTTTCTCTTTCCGTTCCTGTTCCCCTTTACTTTTCCCTTCACTTTTCCCTCCCCTTCCCCCTTTTTCATGTTTTCTTCATTTTTTAAAACATTTTTTCTGTTTGCTCGTCTCGTTCGCATATGATTGAATATTGAATGACAAAAAATATTGAAAAAATTGAAGCGCAGCTGAAACATGGTTGGTTTCACTTAAAATTGCATTCAGTGTTTCGAGATTTGATCCGGCGTTCAATTGGAACCGGTTTTCATTGATGCATGATTTAAATTCTTTCAATTCGATCCCTCTCTTGCGCTGGTTTAAATTGAAGACAAATGGTTCAACTAAATCTAGTTCAACTCAGTCTGGACGTATTCATTAAATCTGGTCCTTAATTCATGTCTTGATAAATCACCCTTGCTCCATCAACTAGTTAGTGGTGAAAGTTGAGAGAGGCCTAAAGAGTATGTAATACCATGAAGGGGCATCAACCCATAGCGCCCCATCATAGAATTTTATATGGTCTACAGAATGGTACTCCATTTAGAAAAGAGTTTTTAAAAGTCGTCTTATTTATTTCTAAAAATCTATTTCTAAATCGCTTGGGTTGAAAAGAATGTTTACAAAGTCTCAAAAAGTCGCAAAAAAAAAATAAAAAAAATCCTGGCCGAAATTTATTATTTCCCGCCTCCCTTCAACTAGTAGGTATATAAATAGATACTGTCTGTTTTTTTTCTCAGATACTAACTCAGGAGTCAGGAACCCTAAGACCGATTTGCCTCAGATTTTGTTTGGGGAACTTGGGAGGCCCACTAGAAAGTTTTTAGCTTGGTTTTGAGACTTTAAGTTGAGTGGGTGGACTTTAATAGCGAAAATTTAGTTTTCCCGGTAAAATCGTTCAAGTATGGGCAAACGGCGGGAGAAACTTTTAGTAACTTGGGCAGCGCTGGGTTCCCAAGCTACTACTAAATAGAATAAAACCGATGTTTTTAAAAAACCCAAAAATTAAGTGAGCTAAAAATGTAAAACTAAAACATTTTTTGGAATGCAAAAATAATTTTAAGACGGACGTATTTTTTAATAAAAAAATCTTTAAAAAAAACTTTAAAAAATCATTTCCAAATTCAGTACCGTATATGTATATTGTATATTCATATGCGGTAGGGGGGTAGGATTTATTTTTAAATTAAATTTCCTCACTTTTAAAAAACATCTTGACTGTTCAGGGTGAAGTATTTGGATGGGGTAACTCTGAGTACTCACAGTTTAGGATGATCACAGAGGAACAGCAACTTCATACACCTACTCATATTCCTTTAGGTCAGGACAGACTCGGACATGATCGGGGTCAAGGTCGGGTAGGGTCGAGTCAGATCATGGTCGGGTTAAGGTCGGGCAGGGTCAGGTTGAGTTTTGTTTGGTCGGATTGGATTGGGTCAGCAACAAAAATTGGTGCTGCTCTAAAATTCTCAGTTTGTAAAAAAAAATTGATTTTTAATTTTTCTTCAAATGAATTTCAAAATATACAGTTAAAATCTTGAGGGTACGCTCGGTTGATTCATATTTTATTTTTTTCTGAAAAAAGTAAACCTTAGTTTCCGGACTCTAAGTCAAGCATTCAAACTTTGAATTAGTTACCATATCTATTTTGATTTCAGGGACAAAAGACGATATTTCAAGTAACCCTCCATTTTTACAGATAGTTGTCTCAGGGGTGTATATTTTTTCAGAAAATGATTTTTGATGAGTTGGGGAAAAAGTTGGAAATCACAAGGCAAGTTTTTTTAAACAAAAGCGTATATCACTTGGGGGGGGGGGTGATTTTCGAGAAAATGTACACCCCTGAGTAGTCTTTTTTTTCAACAAAACCCTTTAAACCGTTGTCCGATGCTGCAAATATGTCATTCAATAAATGAAGGGGCACGTTAAATTATGTCTACAGTCCCTTTAATATATTAAAATAATTTATTTTGTCAGGTATCGGAAAAGTAAAAGATATCGCTAGCGGGGGTACAATTTGTCTGGCTCTAAATGAAGTAAGTTATCTAGTTCAAACAAAACACTATTAAAAAATAATTAGACAAATTTTTCTTTCCAAGACAATTTGTTTTGGTCTAGAACATACTACATACTAGAACATACTACAACTTTTTTATTCCAAAAAAATACTTTTATAAATAAACCCATTCCTAAGGAAGTTACGTGCGCATGCAGCATTGAATTACAAGACGGAGAGAAAGTCTGTCCTAGTGTCCTAGCCGCAGCGCTCGGCCCAGAAAGTGACCTAACCATAAAATATATACATATTTCTCTTTTTCTTGGAAGTCAACGCAGCAACTGCACGTAACTTACTTGGGCAACTGCCTTGAAAGTACACATTGACGGTTATACTTAAATACCCAGAGAAAAAAAAACAAATAGAGGATTAAATCTGCAACTTCATAAATCACTGAAAATTGTCATTTAAATGTCTGATTGAAGTTAAATAAAATATTAAAATAATTTATTTTAAAGTTAATATTTTGAAATACAGATCCTTTTAGAACATTTTTTTCGTTTTTTTTTTCGCTGAAGTTGGGAAAATAGTTTAATTTTCGGGCAAAAATTTAAAATAATTTCCTTTTTTCCTTAAATCATACAAAATCATTTCCTTCCTTGGCTCTCGGGGTGGTTATTTTGAAAAATAAATATACTCCCTGTCAAAAATCTTTTAATCAAATGTTTAACACTTCTTTAAAAATCTATCCATCTATAATCTGTATCTATCTATCTAGGATGGGGATGTATATGTATGGGGATACGGTATACTAGGAAAAGGTCCTAATCTCAACACCGCTATAAAGGAATCCTATCAAAAAAGTTTTGAATTATCATGATGAAGTCAAAGCTGGATGTGTTTGCTGAGCTAATTTGATTGATTGAATTCTCTGATTGGTTGAATTGTTGAGTCAGATTAATTTTAGTGATTGATTTATTTATTGATTTATTTATTTAATATATTTGATTTATTTGATTTTTTCATTGATAATTTGAATATTTGCTTAATTAGTTGTTTCTTGATATTGATTGGTTGATAAGCGAATAATTTAAATAATATGATTGATCGATTATTTTGAGAGTAGCCGGAAAAAATTCCTCCAGCGTTATTCGGAATTTCACCTTTCAGCCCCGACATTAAGATTACGAGGTAAATAGATAAATAAATAATTCTACAGAGGTGGAAATTAATTAATTACGTTTCAATCGTGGCCGAGAGTGTATCGGAAATTCTTAGTTCAATTTCTTCTAACTATTCATTTAATCAGACCTCTGAACTAGGAACGGCTGGTTTTAAATATTCTTAAAGTGGATTTTACATATTAGCCATGTAGAAAAAAAATCAGATTGTATTCCATTCTTGAATAACCTGATAATACTTTGCTGAATTTAACAACTTTAATCTTTAATCTTGATTGATCTTAAAGTAAACCTAGTTAAAAATTCTGAATTGGTTTTCTGTATTACTTTTGCTAAAAATGCTGAAGCTGCTAAGAATGCTAAATACTTATTTGCACAGAACTATTCCATAACATTTTTTGGTGAGTGCTGCGAAAAATAGCTCAATTTTATATAATTTCGATTATTATTGTTAAATTTTATATAATTTTTGTAATTTTTATACATGTTGCTGATATAGTTGAGAAGAAGAAGAAGGTTTTCCGAATTATCACGATCTAACATTTTTATGTTATCTTTTAGAATCTCGTCAAATTGTAGTCCCCCCCCCCCCCAACCCCCCTCCAACGACCATTAAGTTAAAAAATATTTGTTTGATGTAATATTTTAGTTTGCATGCTGGTTTGGGACATCAAGCTGTTGTGAATTCATCAGGTATTATTATGTCAGCATTTTTGCTTATGTACACGAAAAATAAATACGACCAAATAGGTAAAAATTTCATTTACACGTTCTTTTGTTCTTCCTTTAAAAGTTTTTTCAAAATTGCATTAAAAATTGACCTTGTTCTAATCAACATTTATTCCCCGTGTTTTCTTAAAACAACACGATACACGAAGTGAACCATAAATTAATGTGATGCATTCCCTATTCACAACGGTTCCCTTTCAACCTTTTCTGGGCAAAAATAAGGAATATATTGTCTCAATAATGAGTATATCGTCTCAATAAGGAATATATCGTCTCAATAATGAATATATCGTCTCAATAAGGAATATATCGTCTAAATAATAAATATATCGTCTCGTTTTGATCAATATAACGTGTTGAATTATTTCAATTCTTTCTTTGTCTCTGCTGTATAAATCCGCAAATAAATTTTGTGGAGAAAACAAAATTTAAAAAATGGACATATTCAACATTTTTGGCCCAGACGAAGAGACACCATTGAATAACGAGGATGCAACTCATTGAATGGAGGGTCATTTGAAAATATGTAAACAGTCCCTTTTACTGATGCAGGTGATCTGTATATCTGGGGGCAGAACCGTGAAAGATGTTTAGGACTAGGAGAACACGGAAACCAGTTTTTCCCGCTTAAAATTGCCATTCCTGGCCGCGTTAAAGAGGTACAAAAAAACTTTTTATAAAAGAGTTTTTAAAAAGATATTTTGGAAAAATTCAGTAAATGCTGCTTCCCCACATATTTTGTCGAAAAAAAAATTATTTTCCCCTTATGTAGTGACACGTTTTTGATTCGTGTTTTTTTAGGAAAAAGTGCAAAAATGGAGGAATAAATTTGCAAGTTAATATTCTTTTTTTCTTGAAGTTCTTTGTGGTATCATGATATTAGATTAAGTGCCCAGCGTTGCCCATGGATTTTTTCTCGTGGTATTTAAAAAATTCCAAGTTAGCCTTTTTCACCCCCTGTGGTACCTATGGTGTCCCTAAAAAAAAATGTTTCCCAATTTGGTCCAACCGTATGGCCTGCTATAGCGAACATACATGTATGAGCGAAGAGCTTTTATTTTTATAGATAATATAATATTTTAGGTGTCATTGGGAGTGGATCACTCTGCAGTTATTGCCTCAGCTTGGACATAATTCTTATCTTACAACCCGAACCTCTCAGTTTATTTTCTGCAAAGAATGAAAGTTGTTTCCAAAACACCATTTCTCGGTTCTCCCCCTCAACCATTTGATGAAAACAATTAAATTAGAATCAGATTTTTTAATGTTAATTTTGATAATTTTTTTTCATGCGTATTTTGGCAACATGAAATAACCCACAAACATGGATTTAAATGGAAAGAAGAATAATGGAAAACATTTTTTGTGACACCATTTGGTTGGTTCATCGAAGTTTAAATGTTTAAGTGGATTTTACTTGCGCGCAATTGCGAGCCCTCTAAACTCCGCGCAATTCAAGAACAGTTGAAAACAGTTGTAAACAAATAGTACCTGAATTCTTGTCATATTCACCATATTTTCAGATCATAATTAGGTTGGCTGGATTTAGAAAATGTCTGGGAACACGCTTCAGAAAGCCATTGATCTCGTCACAAAGGAATTCAATCAATCAATCAATCAATCAACAAATCAAATAAACGATTTTTGCTTTTCTTACAAACTTTATCTTTGATATTGATTAATTATTAATGTCAATCGTTATTTATGGGATCTTTACTTTGAATCATGAATGTAGAACGAAACTGGATCCCGTAGAGCAATGCCATGATTTCTAAATTTTATGTTTATTTTTAAATTGGATTTATCTGTTTTAAACTGTATTAAATTAAACATATTGCGTCTCTCGAGTATTTCTAATAGTTGTTTAGGACAATATTTCCAATGGTTGAATTAAAAATTATTATATTGTTTGACTGATCAAATATTCAATTAATTGTTTGATCAAATATTCAATTAATTGGTTGATCAAATATTCAATTAATTGATTGATCAAATATTCAATTAATTGATTGATAAAATATTCAATTAATTGATTGATCAAATATTCAATTAATTGATTGATCAAATATTCAATTAATTGATTGATAAAATATTCAATTAATTGATTGATCAAATATTCAATTAGTTGATTGATCAAATATTCAATTAATTGATTGATCAAATATTCAATTAATTGATTGATCAAATATTTGATTGATTGACTATTGAAATAATTAGGCCACTGAGGAAGACAAAGCTAAAAACTATGATGAGGCTTTAAGGTAAATAGGATTAAGGGAGCCGGGGGATGCCGGAGCTCACTGGCGTTAGTTCCGATTGCGGTCTGGGCTCTCCAAAATGGGNCCTCCTTCGCCCCTCCTTTTTGGTTATTCAAATTTAGGTAAACAAATTTATCTTCAATCTTAAATTTTGATTATTGATAATTCTGTCATTGGCCCAGTTAAAAATGAACAGTCATGTAACTTATTTTAATTATTGATGATTTTTGATAACTTTGAATTAAGTTCTGGTGGTTTTTGGGATTAATTGAAAGATTACATAGATAGAGTCATTGATTGTATTTATAATATTTTTTTTTATTTAATTGATTTGTTGAATTCTTTAGTAGATTATTAGGTAAAAACTGATAATTTGATTATTTGAGTATTTGATGTGATCAAAAAGTTTATTAGTTAATGATTTTTTTTTGAAGATCATTAGATAAATTTTGATAATTATTAAATGGATATTAGATGATTTATGTTGGTCATCTTTCCTGCGTCATTTTTGTACCAATAAACTACCAATTCTATTCTAATAGTTCAATGTTAATTTATATTTAAATGTGCACTATTTGTAAAAATAAAAACTTTTCATGCTTAAACCCGCCGAACTATTATATTTGTACTCGTACCAGCGTATCTGTGCTTATATAAATCTCCCAACAAAAAAGAACTCTGGCATAAGTTTAACTTTTTATATTCATATATAATAAATAGTCGAAAAATTTATTTATAGAATGTTCATTTAACAACAATTTAATATAGTTATAGTTTGCTGGTATGCTATTATGAAAGAAGGTTTACATTTAAGTTTAATTTGGGACTGATTAATTAATTTAATCAGAGTATCAAAAAAAGAATTATGAGTCTCGACTCACTCTTTATAAATCTTTATAAATGTGGTCGATTTTATTAATTAGTTGTTAATTTTTTAATAGATTGATTAATTGAATGATGACTTGGTTGATTGATTGATTGATTAATTTGATTTGTTAAGGTTGTACGAGCATGCAGTAGAATATTTCCTGCATGCGATTAAGTATGAAGCACAGAGTGACAAAGCCAAAGAAAGCATCAGGTAACGAAGCAGTAAACCCTTTATATTGACCTATCTTAAATATTGAAGCCCTTGGATAGTATTGAGCGTAACATATCTAATTATCTATATTTATATAAAGTAGTAATATCTGTTTGGTTTTTTATCCGATCATAACTCATGAACCCCTGGACCGATTTGCCTCAATTTTTGATTGGGGAACTCTAGAGAACCACGGGAATGCTCTTAGCTTGGTTTCTAAGTTGAGTTGAGTGAGTGGGTTTTATAGGGAAAAATAACTGAATTCGTAATTTAAGACCAAGTGCAGGTAAACTTATAATTTAATAATAATAAAAGTGGCCCGCCGGGCTCCAAATACCAGCCCTTCTTTCCTCAGTGGGATGGAATTCTTCAAAATATAAACCTGTAGCGACAAAAAATACTTTCGCTCATTTCCCTTTTTTCAATTCTCTGATATATCCTAAAAATTAACAAATTCGATCATTAATCTTTGAATAAAAGTATTTCTTTGATCAGGGCCAAGTGTATTACCTACTTGGAGCGAGCAGAAAAACTAAAGGAGTACATAAAGGTGATTTTTTTAATATAAAGATAATCTTAAAATTATAAATTAAGACTTAAATCAATGGGTAATTTGTAGTAAAATTTAACAACAAATATAGTTTGAATTTAAATAATAATAATGCAATTTTTCTTTTGGCAAACTTATCATCCTCCCCCATCCACAATATCAGGGGTGTATACCGTATCAGTGTACTGTATATTGTGTCGCAGAAAACCAAAAATGTTTGATTTTCAATATACTCGGTATTTTATCCCATTCAAATAAGCCACCTGAGCAAAATAAAATCTGTAAAAGTTCTTTAACAAATCAAACAGCTTTATGTAAAACTTGGATTTTTACGGTAATTAGGATTTTCGCAAAAAAACCTTTGACGAACCAATATATTTTCAGAAATAATAAAAATAATAGTAATAATAAGGTACATCTTGTAACTTAACATTTCTTGTCAGATGTATTGTTTGTTTTGAAAAATTTGTTTACAATAGGGTGGAAAGAAGAAACCGGTTAAGGCTGGGAGCAGTAATGACCACGAGGGTTCAGATAAAAAGGTAAATAAAAAAATGTAAACATAATTTACATTTTACATGCTTAAAACAACGATTGAGGTGGGACATATAAGAATTATGATTTTTTTTCAAGGTTTTAACCTACTCCTGATTTAATATGATTTGATTGATTTTATCGGATTTAAACTATAGTAGTTAAACTTTTTTCAGAGTATTTTCATCCCTGATGTTCATCAAATCCGACCTCCTTACAAGCATTGATTTGATTGGACCTGATTTATCTTGATTTGACCCGATTCTGATTTGATCTTTATTTAACCCAATCTTGATTTGATCTTTATTTAACCCAATCTTGATTTGATCTTTATTTAACCCAATCTTGATTTGATCTTTATTTAACCCAATCTTGATTTGATCTTTATTTAACCCAATCTTGATTTGATCTTTATTTAACCCAATCTTGATTTGATCTTTATTTAACCCAATCTTGATTTGATCCGATCTTGAAATTAACCCTAAATTGACCGGATCTTAATTTAAGCCGATCTTGATTTTATATTAATTTGATCCTGATTTTATCCTGATTAAATTTAATTTGATTTACCAGGACTGATTATTATTTCCATTTATTTATTAGATTTAATTTGATTTATATTCACTTGTCAGTAGTTAAACTGAACTAGCTACTTGTCTGATCTGAGCTGAAAAATATAAAATTGAATCTATCCTTATTACCAATCGTTTAATCTGAATATCCACTTGGACACTTTTGATTTCTGCTTAATCCGCTTTTTCGCCATCTTTTTGGATTGCCCTACCGGATTCCGGCCAATTCTTATTAAACGGCGTGGGAAATTTCAAATTTCGGCCGGCTTCTGAATGGCTGTTTGGGATTCTGTAAAACACCACTCTGATTTGTGGAATCTTAGAAACATTTCTGGATTCAAAGTAGAGATTAAAATATTCATAAGATTTACAAAAAGAAGAGATTTATCTCGATATCCACAGTTCAAAGTTTTCAGCTCCGATCTTGATTCAGGGTGAAGACTCTGACGATGACGGAGAAAAGAAGAAGTTCCAAAGTAAACTGGAGGGAGCCATTGTAGTAGAGAAACCTAATGTTAAGTGGGAGGATGTTGCTGGGTTAGAGGTACTCGATAATATTATGATTATGATAAGGATTATATGATTATGGTTTTATTATTATTATTATTATTATTGATGTTATTGTTATTGTTATTGTTATTGTTATTGTTATTGTTATTGTTATTGTTATTGTTATTTTTGTTATTATAGTTATTATTGTTATTTTTTTTTTTATCTATATCATTAATTTTATTAATATTATATCTTCGAAAATCTTACATGCAACCCTTCAGTTGGAGAGTCACTTGAAAAAAACATTTAATGTCCCTTAAAAACATCTACAGGTCCTTAAAAACATCTACAATCCCTTAGAAACATCTACAGTCCCTTAAAAACATCTACAGTCCCTTAAAAACATCTACAGTACCTTAGAAACATCTACAGTCCCTTAGAAACATCTACAGTACCTTAGAAACATCTACAGTACCTTAGAAAACATCTACAGTACCTTAGAAACATCTACAGTCCCTTAGAAACATCTACAGTCCCTTAGAAACATCTACAGTACCTTAGAAACATCTACGGTACCTTAGAAAACATCTACAGTACCTTAGAAACATCTACAGTCCCTTAGAAACATCTACAGTCCCTTAGAAACATCTACAGTCCCTTAGAAAAATATATTCTTGAATGTTTACTGTATGATGTATGTGTAAGTATGACGCTCTCTATTCACTGTTTTGTGAAGACAGTGTTAAAAAAGCACCCTTGAAAAAAATGCGATAATAATTATTTTTAAAAATGCGCCAAAATTTGAGAAATGATTATCTGCATTAATCATTATTTATCAATTATTATTTGCTTAATATTGTTATATAAAAAATATGAAAATAAAAGAATCCTAATTTTTTATAATAAAAATATCTAATATTTGCTGATCTGTTCAGTCTGATAATATTTAATTATGGTTTACTACACTAGGCAGCTAAGGAAGCTTTAAAGGAGGCAGTTATTCTTCCCATAAAGTTCCCTCACCTTTTCACAGGGAATAGGAAACCTTGGAAAGGTATGACGATATTTTGTTAACCGTAATTACAGCGGAGTGGGGCCTTTAAACAGAGGATATAAATACTTTCGGTAGCTTAAAAATCTAAAATATTTGAAATGGGTCTTCAAACACTGTGATTTATAAATCAGAAATATTATTGGGTTCCGAGTTCTTCAAAAAGTGGATACAATGATGATGTGTAAAGATTGTTGTATTTTCACGGATACTGAACTTTTTTGTTTCTCTCGAATTAATTATTTAGTTTTTGTGTTAATTTTCGTTAGTCTTATTCAATTATTGCTTTAAATAATTAAATTTAATTATTACAACTCAACTTCTCTGAAATTACAAAAACAGATAAATTTCGTTTTCTTCAAGTTTAAAAAAAAACCGTCAGTGGGGCAAGCATTAATAGCGTGGTAAAAAATGTTGAATTGGAGGTGGAGGAAGGTCTAATAAAGATTGGAAACAATTGTCGTCTTCTCTAATGAATATAGACATTTTTTGCTTGCTTGGAAGTTCCATTCCATTTACTGATTCGTGCTTTTTAACATAAATCCTAACAAATCAGTTAACGAGTTAATGGATTAGATATGCATACATTTATGCAAGATTATTTCCTTGCTTATGATAATACAAAAGACGACATTAGCTCACATTTTTAACGTTTTATATTGGATATATTTACTGTCCTGCTCCTTTCACTGCATAAAATGTCACTTCCTAGAGCACTTGAAAAAACATATTTTACTACATCTGAAAATTTTCATCAAGTATATTGGACATTTTTCATACAAAAGAGGTGCGTTACTTATTCACAAATTCAGGTTTATTTCAACAAAAAATCCTTTTATTTAACAAATGATCAAATAACTTTTGAAATACAATTTAATATTTTTAATATGTGTTTGCTTTTAGCACAGCACACTTACAACTGTGTTAAATAACTGCGGATTTGATGTGGATTATTGAACGTTCAAGCAACTAATATAACCAATTTATAACCAATATAACCAGAGCTGAAAACTTTAGAATGAGATATCCCTAATCCCGATTACTTAATCTGAGTATCCAATTGACACACTTTTGATTTTCTTCTTAAACCGTTCTTTATTGGATACAGTAGAGAAAAATCAAAAACCGGTTTTTAAAAAAAAGAGAGTCGCTCCCGTTTCTGTATATTAATCTTAAATGGCGCGAAAAAATTTCAAATCTATTGGCTTCATATACACGACTCTGATTGGTTGAATTTTATACACTTTTCAGGATACAAGTACAAGATTAGGTTTGTCTCGATATTAGGAAAAAGAGAGGATCAAGCATTAATCTCGATATCCACCATTCTAAAGTTTTCAGCTCAGGGTTTCTGTACAAAATAATTAGACAAAAAATCATCTTTATATAGAGAATCTTTGTGTTTTAGGAATCCTTCTGTTTGGCCCACCAGGAACTGGTAAATCGTACCTAGCTAAGGCAGTTGCTACGGAGGTAAACATTGCTTAATATTTATAGGACATATGTGTGTTGGACTTTTGCGAATAAGTCCTGTTATAAGTTGCATTCCCAATTTATGACGGTACCGTAAATACGGGCATACAACACTTTAAATCAAGATTTTACAGACAGTCCAAGTTAATAGTTGCCTGCCCAATTTACGTAGTACCGTAAATACGGGCATACAACACTTGAAATCCAGATTTTACAGACAGTACAAGTTAATAGTTGCCTGCCCAATTTACGTAGTACCGTAAATGCGGGCATACAACACTTTAAATCCAGATATTACAGACAGTCCAAGTTAATAGTTGCCTGCCCAATTTACGTAGTACCGTAAATACGGGCATACAACACTTTAAATGAAGAGACGCTTCAAATTACGTACACAGTTCCTTTAAAATTAAACTTTACTTTATGATGCAGTTATATTTTTTTATGTTATGCATTCCTAAAAAAGAACTTCTTGAAGATTTAGGGCTTAGGTTGATCAACCCTATGCATCTTTAACAATCAACCTACAGACAAAGTACCTTGATCTGTAGGTTACAATAGATACATTAATAAAGTTATATTCGGATTAAAAACAATTATTTTCTAGGCGAACAATTCGACGTTCTTTAGCGTGAGTAGCAGCGACCTTGTGAGTAAATGGTTGGGAGAGTCGGAGAAGTTAGTAAAGAACCTCTTCGAGATGGCCAGGTACTGTTTGTAGGGTTTACAATTGGAATTTCGTTGCCCCAAATTTCAATGAAATTTCAGAGCCCGCAATTGCTCGCAAGTAAAATCCACTTGCGTCGGAAACCTTAACCGTTAGTTAGTGGTTCGTTTTTTAAGGACTTTTTGGACTTTCAAAAGTTCCACGAAATTCTGAGGTCTATATATTTCGAACTCGTTAAATATTTGCACGTTTTATACTTTACACGGAGATAAGATAATTGCAACAATATCGCTCAGAGGTTTAGAAATGATCGGTATTTTTTTCTAGGTTACAAATTATGCCTTCTTTAACGAAAGCAAACTTTTACAGATTATAATTTTGAAATTTTAGAACCTTTGCGTATTTTTTTGAGCCTTTTAATAGTGTTCAAATAATAAAAGTTACACATTAAAGATGGGACTTCAGAAATTACTTTACGGAACTTATTCAATCTTTATTCTTACATTATTTGTTTCTTAAAAATTGTGAACTTATTTCTTTCTTTGCCAAATCAAGACAATACATTAAAAATTTGAACTAGTTGTATTCAATAGCCTCAAACTAAATAAGGTCGCAGGGTTTATATGTGTTTAAGTATCACTTGAAATGCTTGATCTTGCAAGAGTTGGAACAAATTTAAAAGATATTGGTCTTTCTTGTACTTAATGATATAATATATTAAATAATAGGGTGTTTACAGATTTTAACTTAGGAGAGAAAGACCCCTTGATACGATATCATTTACAATCAATAATTTTAATTATTTATGCAGAGAGCAGAAACCCTCTATCATATTCATAGACGAGGTGGATTCATTGACCAGCTCAAGGTTAGTCCCCTAGATACTTATTTAGGGCTAGTCACCTAGATTCATCGACCAGCTCAAGGTTAGGCCCCTAGATGCTGATTTAGGGTTAGTCCCCTAGATTCATTGACTAGCTATTTAGGGTTAGTCACCTAAATTCATTGACCAGCTCAAGGTTAGTGCCCTAGATGCTGATTTAGGGTTAGTCACCTAGATTCATTGACTAGCTCAAGGTTAGTCCCCTAGATACTTATATAGGGTTAGTCACCTAGATTCATCGACCAGCTCAAGGTTAGTCCCCTAGATGCTGATTTAGGGTTAGGCACCTATATTCTTTGAATAACCCAAGGTTAGTCCCATAGATACTTGTTTAGGGTTAGGCACCTAGATTCTTTGAATAACCCAAGGTTAGTCCCATAGAGAATTATTTAGGGTTAGGCACCTAGATTCATTGACCAGCTTAAGGTTAGTCGCCTAAAGACTAATTTATGGTTTGAAACCTAGTTTCAGTGACTAGCTCAAGGTTAGTCTCCTAGGGACTTATGTAGGGTTAGTTTACTATATTCATTGATCAGCTGGAGGTTAGTCGCCTAGAGACTTATTTAGAGTTAGTCACCTAGATCCATCAGAAACAGGTTAGTCGCCTAGAGACTTATTTAGAGTTAGTCACCTAGTGTCTAACCCTAACCAGTGTTTAGTCAATGAAACTAGGTGTCTAATATTAATTATTATTATTATTATTATTATATTAATTATTATTAATATTATTATTATATTGATTATTATTAATATTATTAATTGATTCATTAATTGACTGCTTTAGGTCAGATAATGAATCTGAATCAGCACGACGAATAAAAACGGAATTCCTTGTACAGATGCAGGGGGTTGGGAACGATATGGACGGTATCCTTGTTCTAGGTAGGTTACTGTATCCTTTTACTAGGCAGGTTACTGTATCCTTTTACAAGGTAGTTCACTGTATCCTTGTTCTAATTAGGTCACTGTATCCTTGTTCTAGGCAGGTCACTGTATCCTTGTTCTAAGTAGGTCACTGTATCCTTGTTCTAGGTAGGTCACTGTATCCTTGTTCTAGGAAGGTCACTGTATCCTTGTTCTAGGTAGATCACTGTATCCTTGTTCTAGGTAGTTCACTGTATCCTTGTTCTAGGTAGTTCACTGTATCCTTGTTCTAGGTAGGTCACTGTATCCTTGTTCTAGGTATGTCACTGTATCCTTGTTATAGGTAGGTCACTGTATCCTTGTTCTAGGTAGGTCACTGTATCCTTGTTCTAAGTAGGTCACTGTATCCTTGTTCTAGGTAGTTCACTGTATCCTTCTTCTCGGTAGGTCACTGTATCCTTGTTCTAGGTAGGTCACTGTATCCTTGTTCTAGGTAGTTCACTGTATCCTTGTTCTAGGTAGTTCACTGTGTCCTTGTTCTAGGTAGGTCAGTGTATCCTTGTTCTAGGTATGTCACTGTATCCTTGGTCTAAGTTGGTTACTGTATCCTTGTTCTAGGTCTTATTAATATATGCTGAAAATTATGCTCGTCGTTGACTGTCCCATTTATGAATAAATCTTATTTCTATCTCCTAGGTGCCACAAATATCCCCTGGGTTCTTGATGCAGCAATCAGAAGGAGATTCGAGAAACGAATTTATATTCCGCTGCCGGAAGAAAACGCCAGGAAAACATTATTCAGAGGTTGACCTGGATATTTCAGTAGGCACATTTTGTTTCAAACATGTACATTGTACTGTCCTTTTTATGCGCAAATGGTCAAACCATTATTAACGGAATCTTTTTAGTTACTACATAGTACACTACATACATGTAATCGAGTCTTTGCCCTAAGAATTAACGGTTTAATCACTTAATCTTTAAGTTTTATCCAGATGTATCTATTTATTACACTAACTCTGTTAAACATTATTCAACAAGTTTTAAAGGGGCTCCAGGCGTAATTTTATTTTTTAAAAGTTGCATGTTGAATTCACAACAACACCGTGTATGGTTAAATCTATCATGTTTGATGTGATAAAGGTACAAAGGTAGGTTAAAGATACCACTTGATAATTAGAGGCTCCTTTAAAATTACGCTTGAAGTCCCTTTCAACAAATACACAATCGAAGAAAACATGAATTTTTGAATAAATGATGTTGTGTTCAGAACTTCAATGTTTAAACTGAACATGGGAACTACTCCTAGCAGTTTAAGTGAACAGGATTACAGAAAATTAGGAAGCCAGTAAGATTTTTATTTTAATCTAATTAGTGGTTTACCTGTTATAGATGTGGGCATTGTTTTTAACCGTCTTTTTAACATTCAGCTGATTTTGATGGTTTCAGAACAATCTGAGAAGCTTTATTCATCTCAAATTATATTTTAACCATTTTTTAAGCATTCAGCTGATTTATATGGTTTTAGGAGACATCAAAACAATTTGAGAAAGTTAACTTTTGCGACTTTTTTTTCATATACAGGGTTACCCTGCCATAAAGGAGATGAGACTGCAAAGAGACGAATTAAAACTCGTTAAATATGACGATTTCAATGTTTAATTAAGCCTTTTATTTTTATTTATTTAGAACCGAGGGATATTCTGGTGCAGACATATCTCTTGTGGTTCGAGATGCTTTGATGCAGCCGGTTAGAAGGGTTCAGTCCGCTACTCACTTTGTTAAATGTTCAGGTATACAGCCGTGTTGGATACAATACAGGGTGTGTCATTAAACACTTTTATATCGTCTATATTCATTCATAAATCTGATAACACTAGAAAATACTCAAAATAAGTTGTCTATGCTTTCCAAAATGTGGTCTGACTACTCTTTTTGTTTCAGATTCAAAGACTACATTTTGAGAAGCTTAGACGTCGTACAATTATATTTTCATGGAAACGTTCGCCTTAATTTCAATTTCGCCACTCAATTCCCAAGTTTATCGGAAGAGTTAAAAGAGTCTGAACTCGCAACCCACTTTGTTAAATTTTCAAGCCAAGGACAAGTTTGATGTTCTGCCAACAGATTAAATTAAAACAATTAATCAATCTTTTTGAATTTTTGCTCCAAAAAGGAACCAAATACTTGTCACAATTTATTTAATTAAAATTTTCCAAATCTCCTAACCTTTGATTCCTTTGATCTTTCAATCTATATATTCTGTTATTCATAGTTTGAAATATCAATGGTTTTTGCATTCAGGTTGCCAAGGGATTAGAGAATATAGTTTAGTTCCTTTTTATTCTAATATTGATGAACGCATATGATTAGGTCCCTCTAGAACAGATCCAAGTCTGATTGTTCATGACCTGCTGACTCCTTGTTCTCCTGGAACACCTGGAGCACTAGAGATGACATGGTTAGATGTTCCAAGTGATAAACTACTAGAACCTGTGGTAAGTTTATTCTTCATCCTTCATATCAACTATGGTCATCTATATATAGATTTAATATGTATATTATGTATATTGATTTATAGTCTCTACTACAGTATATATTTACTTGCAAATAATCTTTAGTACTCCATTTAAATATACATAGAGTATATTGTAAATCAATCATATATCTATATATAATATATATGATATAATGTATATCTATAAAGTAGTAATCTCTGTATGTCTGGATTTCCGATTGAAATGCATCAACCCCCGGACCAATTTGCCTAAAATTTTATTAAGGGAACTCCTATTATGTTCTTAGCCTGGCTTGAAAATTCTAATTAAGTGCTTTTCATTATAAAGCGTAAGTTTTGCTTCCAGGCAAAGCTGGGTTTAAAATCTAGTATTTTATCAAATAGTAATCTTTGTTTGTCTGTCTGTTTGTTTTTGTATGTCTGATTGTAACTCCAGAACCACTTGGGCGATTTGCCTCAAATTTTGTTGGAGAACTTGTCAGAACCACAAGTTTATGACCTTTCTTATTTAGGTAAGTGTGACAGATATGCTAAGGTCCCTCGCCACTCAGAAACCGACCGTCAACGCCGGCGACCTCAAGAAGTTGGACGATTTTAGAAACGATTTTGGCCAGGACGGATAAATTGGGTTTCTTCGTGATATTTATTCCCAGCTTTTAAATTGTAATATTTTGTCGCTGTACCGTACTTACTAAACTGTACACCGAGTTGTACAGAAAATTCCCATCATTTTTCACCTTGATTATCATCTTCCTCATTTTCTAATTAATATGCATTCACTCGCAATGAACTATGATTTAATTTCTAAGAAAACAGACATAATTTCAAAAGGAATATCATTAAAGAAAAACTTCAATGAAATCTAACATTATTTTTCTAATTTAAATTTTTTTTTTTATTTGCTGAATTGGGAAAAATAAATAAAGTTATTGATTAAAGAAGAAACCCCAAATAAAAAACTTTTCTTTTAATATTCAATTATTTAGTTTTCTCACAAGCACAGCTAAAATCTTTTCCGGTGGGGAGAGTTGTAATTTTCGAATTCCGTTTATTTTAGAGCCCACTCAATATCACTATGAATAGGATTGCACATTGTTTAAAATGAGAAAATTATTCAATCAGAATGTTCCAATCAGGCTACAGGGTGTCCCCCGAAACATGACATTGGTGGTAAATATTTTCACCCGTCTTTTTTCATATACAGTACATTTTACAGTATTAGTCGATAGAAGACTTTTTGCAGTTAAAAAAGAATCCTTGACTCAAAAATGTTTTATCAATTTTACTATAAATGACCGACCGCCATTTAACGTTTTTTATTAATCTCTTTGTTATCAAACATCTCAAAAAATTACGGAAGAAGATATTTTCAACAATTCACCAACTGCTGTCATGTTTCGTAGGATACCCTTTAAATTAAGGTTAAAATAAAGCAAGAGGGATAAAAACTAAATAAGGATGTATTTTATTTATATTTTGATTTATTAAGTTAATTTGATTTAAATTTGTTCTCCATACAGTTAGTTCAAAAAACGTTGAATTATGTATTTTAAATATATTTATGTGATTAATCAACATATTAATACAAATTTCTTGATTTCAAAATAACTGATAAAAGTTATTAGATGAATAAAATAATTAGATAATACTTCCATGATTTTTATTATAAAACTATTCATATTAATATGGTATGCATTGCTACTAGCCTAGAACACTTATGGACTTAATACATAATTCAGAGCAAATAGATTATCAAGTACAATAGGTGGCAACAGAGAAATGCATCAATTATACACGACGTCGCAAGTGTTAAATATAACAAAAAAAATTAAATTTGCTCACATTACTTGACATGTCTTTCAAGATTAAATAAAACAGTGTAAAAACAGAAATTAAATAACACATAAAATTGCACCCGCTTCACTGTAAGAAAAGCTCTTTATTCTAAAATTATCACTCTTATTAATAATTTTGTCGGACACAATACGAGTATTGTACGTAATTTTGTGTACTATGTGATGCATACGACTCGATTTAAATTCATCTAAAATCAGGTAATATAAGTTTAGATAATTTCAAATCAAATTGGAAGCATAACAGCGTTATATATGGAAAAGATTGATATTTTCTTTACCTTCAAAAACAAGTTAAGTGGCAGGAAAGTAAAAAATAATATGCTTGAGGAGAAAAGTGCAATAAATCACAGTTTTTACCAACTTTTAACAGCTATTTCTCTGGTAAATCAAGATGCTTGCTTATATAACCAAAATAAGATTTAAATTTTATTTTTCAATTTAATTTAAATATTTAAACGTATTATAGGGTTACCCAACAAGGGTAAGACTTCAGAGGAGAATGCACGAAATTTACGCTGCTTTCTTCTGTTCATTAGTGATTCACTGCAACTGAGTTCTTTCTTTGTCAAATCATTAAATAAGTCGTTTAAGGTCAAAGTTCAAGACAGTAAAAGTAAATTGATTATGAAAGTGTTTATTTAAGAATTTCAAATCTCGTCCTCTGTGGGTAGTGTGGGCAACCCTGTAAATTAAAAGCTGTTACAGTGATAACCAGAAAACTCTGGCACAGTAAGACGACTTTGAGAATTAAGTAACTTAAAAAACATGAAAAACAACAATTGTGCAGTGTAAACAGACCAAGTTCACTAAATAAGTGATTTTGTAAGTGTAAAGTAAAACTATTTGTTTTGTAAACCCATAAAATACACTTAAGTATTGCTATAATGTCGTCCTCCTATTCCATTGTTTTTTTGGTTATCACTGTATAACTGAAATTGAAACTAAACTGTGTCAACGTTATACCAAAACTTGCATATATTGTGTGTGGGAGGAAACAGATCATATTCAGCAAATACACAACAAATTTGAAAATTACGATAACCCAGTGGAGCCTAAACATTTTAGGTACGCTCCATTTTAATTTGAATAAATTACTTTTTTTAGTAGCTATAATAAATAATATTATTGATACGTCTGTATCACGTGACCGAAATTTCAACCAATAGCAGCGAAGTATCAGTGTCAAGTGATATTCAGACGAAGACACTATATAACCTTTTAGGCCCTGGATCATCTTTACACATTAAAAAATTCTAGAAAATGATTTTTATTTTCTGTAAATTAATTCTCTGACAACCTGTCATGTATTCCCCGTGTTTATTTCAGCATAAGCTTTACTTTACATTCCCGAGTTCATGTCAGCATAAACTTTATAAAAAGAAGAAATTTTATCCTATTCCAGAGTTTTCTGGTTATTCCTGTAATTTCTTTGAACTTGTTTTGAACTAAATACGTGATGCAGAATAATAAAAAGTGTCAAAAAGTAAACATGATTTTTACAGATATATTTTCACAATAACATAACAATTGTAGCCTATAATAAATTGTATCAAGGTTTCTAGATCAGTAAGAAATAGTTTCTGCTGGTTTTTCAAATCCTCGCATCCAGATTATATTCCACAGGGGATCTAAACAGAGTGAAATTAATTAAAAGGACTGTCTCTGTAAATTAATTAATTAAAGGGACTGTCTCCGTAAATTAATTAATTAAAGGGACTGTCTCCGTAAATTAATTAGTTAAAGGGACTGTCTCCGTAAATTAATTAATTAAAGGGACTGTCTCCTAAAATAATTAATTAAAGGGTCTGTCTCCGTAAATTAATTAATTAAAGGGACTGTCTTCGTAAATTTATTAATTTAAGGGACTGTCTCCGTAAATTAATTAATTAAAGGGACTGTCTCCATAAATTAATTAATTAAAGGGACTGTCTCCGTAAATTTATTGATTAAAGGGACTGTCTCCATAAATTAATCAATTAAAGGGACTGTCTCCGTAAATTAATCAATTAAAGGGACTGTTTCCGTAAATTAATTAGTTAAAGGGACTGTCTCCGTAAATTAATTAATTAAAGGGACTGTCTCCGTATTTATAGATTTACATGTCCGAATCATAATTTGCACCTTCTCTGTTCTACAATAAAGGAATTAATCAATTTTTTAGATAGAAATGCAAGGAATAGCCGGAATAATTTTTAATGGTTTTTGAGGGGGGAAATTATTTTTAAAGGGGGAATTTTTATTCACCTGAGTATAATCAAGTGAGAATCCAGTGGTAGCAGTTGAAGCAGAATCTAGAGTGGGAGTAGCAGATGTAAACAAATGAACATTAAATGGTCTCTGGTTACCTAGAATTATTCATTCCTCATTTCTTTAATTGTTTCATTGTTTCGTTCGCAGATTTAGAAAAAAATGATCGATGAAAAAAACTATTTTTTACAATTCTTATTAAGATCAACGTTAAACTAGCTTTATTTTTTATTTTTTTTAAAGTGAATTTGTTTGAGGACGGAGTGAGGGGTTGACATTTTGAATACTAATTTGATTTGATGGCTTCCATTTAACAAGGAAGATAGATTATTACTTTACACCTCAATCCTCCACAACAATTAAAGATTAAAGATGAAATCTGTCTTTAATCCTTCAAAAGTTTAAATTATTTTCTTTTAATTGTCATAAAATATCAAATATCAATTAATCTGCCTTGTGCTAGTTTTATCCTAAGTATTGGTATTTTAATTTTAAAAAGTTTGATATTTTTTATTTTCAAATTTGTGAACAGTCTCTTTAGATTCCTATTTACTTACTCTGTACAGGTGTTGCTACGGATCCTGTAGAAATACCGAAAAGACCTCCACAGAACTCAGTAGGAAAAGGAGGTACATTGGTCGCTATTGGAAGAGGAGATACTCCATCAAGAGATGTCATCGGTATAGTTACCATGGTACCTTGTGCTGAACACACACCTGAATTCAGTTAATATCATTAAAGCTAAAAAATAAAAACAAAATATAAAAAATAAAAGGTGTTAATGCTGTAAAGGATAAACATTGATAATAGTAGATATAATTGTTTTCCACAACAGGCCAAAGATTGATTATAATATTGAAATTATTTTTTTTCTGCGTCGAAAACTGTTTTACTACAAATAGACAGGTTACTCAGTCCTCCTACGAACCAACATTTGGCATTAATAACACGGTCCGATTCACAACCTGAACCCTAAAAACTTTAACATGTGAAAGATATCCCCGTTATATTTTAGGCAGCATGCTGCTTAAGTTGCACAATCTCCTAGATTTTAATCCTAAATTTAGAGAAACCACAATTAAATAAACTGCAGGGGCGTAATGGGGGTTTAGCCTGGGGCTTGAACTTGTGGCGCGTGTAAGCGCGGAGTTTTTTTTATTCACCTCCTAGCGGTCGTTGTTCGTCCCCCTAAAAAACCGGTATTAAGAACAAGTTCAGTTTTAAACACTATATTAACCCTGTAAATATTCTTTTTTTATAATTACAAAAATTGCGAAAAATCCTTCAATATACTATTCCTTAAAGGGACAGTAAAGGAAAAATTAAAGGGGGTATAGGCTGAAAGCTAATCACTTTAGCTCTTGATCGCGACCCATAAAAGTTTTATCTGATGTTCCTGTCTCGAGAAATTGATATAAAACTGTGTTATAATTATACGAAAATTCATATATGTAAAATTTTGAAAATCTGAAACTTAAATCACGTGACCAGAACTATCACCAATGGCAGAGTAGTATACTGGTCACGTGTCTCCGCCTGTATCACGTGACCACTTTACTGCACTGCCATTGGTGGAATTTCTGGTCAAGTAATACGGACGTAAAAATAATATTATGAATGAAATCTATTGAAAATAGAAACAACAAATATAAAAGTAAACCTAAATTACAATTAGCTTTCTCTGGGATATCATCTTTTTCAGATTGGTTGCTGTTTTTCTGAGCATTGTCTTATTATACTTACTATTTCTATACGAAATTGTATATATATGCATTTTCGTACAAGTTTGAAACAGCTTTATATCAACTCTCGAGTTAGGAACTTCAGATAGGCGTCTCAAGGGTCTCGATGAAAAGCTAAAGTGATTAGCTTTCAGCCTATACCCCCTTTCATTTTTCCTTTACTGTCCCTTTAACCCTATCACGGTTGGGGGGATGTGTTTTCCAGCCCCTCCCCCCCCAGCATGGCGGTCTGTGTTTTTTCTTAATAACTTAAAAACGGTTGACATTGGAATGCTAAAACTTCTTCACTTTTTAACTTCATAGTTGTGAACTAATTTTGCAAAAAAAATTAATATGCATATGGTAGGGTGTCATATGTTAATATTTGTCAAAAGTAAAAATATTTTTTTTGAGACTTTGTCCCACATACTTTTGGAATTTTTTTAAAATCCTCCTTTGCACCCTAACCATAAAAGAAAGAGGTATAAATTTTTGAACAGGGACCATGGACATTGTATGACAATCCCTTATATTCAACTCTAAGAGCAAAATCATAGGGAAGACAAAAAAATCCAACCGGGATATGGTTAAAGTCAAACCAGAAAGTGTTCCCAACCCTGTAGTGCACCCCTGCACCCTAAACATTGCTCCTCCTTACAATTATCTGTTTCCACTGAGCCACTGCAGCTCTCCCAAATATCCAACCCTGCTCCCCCTTTTCCCAACCCTGTAAACTTTACTTTATCAAATAATACTCTCCTTAACTCTGGGTCAAATATCTTGAACTCAGATATGGATTTTAAATAAAACCCCGATAATATAGATTCAAGTCTAATAAAATTATGATAAAATGAACACACTGTCATTTGATATGACAAGAATGTAAATGTGAGTTTAATAAATTAGGCCTCCAGGGGGGGGGGCTAGAGGGGCTTTTGTAGGGGGCATACTGGTTTGTGCCCCCCCCCCCCTACTACGCCCCTGAAATATAGCCAACTTTAAAAGATAAATCCTGTTTAGCTTACCCTACAGGGTGCAGTCCCAAAAAACATGGGAATTCAGTGACGAATTGGATATCGTCTTTGTTATGAATTAGCATTGTAATACCTAATTTCAAAAGCCATAATATTATTATGTGTGCTAGAGTTTATTTTATGAAAAGGGTAATTAGCTGTAAAGATGTGTTTATAATGTCTCCGCAAGATGAACAGTGGAGACGGTCAAGTTTTCTCTGTTTGTATACTGCAATTTTCTTGTTTTACTAAGTACAACCGTATGCAGTCAAAACATAAACAAACAAAATGTGAACATACCAGACGAAAATCTTACAGATTACAGCTTTCTCAGTAGGTATGACTATACTAAATCAAAGAATTATCTAAAAAGACAATATCGAATTCGTCATTGAATTCCCATGTTTATTGGGACACCCTGTAGATCGAAAAAAACTTCATGGATACCATTGTGAATTGTATGTGTAATTTGATTCATGTTAAAACTACGCAGACAGTCCCAGAGGGGCTGTTTGAAATTTATAAAACAGTTCTTGTTACCGAGAACTCTTTTCTAGAGTCAGAGAAATTGATATATTGTGGAAAGTTGAATACTAAAATATGGCATGAACTCCAACTGAGATGTGTGTCAAAATGCATGTTGTCTATTGTTATGGTTTGTTTCAACATTTTTTTCTAAAACTACCAACATTAAAAAATTATATTTTGAAAAGTTTTGCCATATTTTTATACCCAAAAAAAGATGAACCAAATTTTTGGTTCGTTAAAAGTTCATTTTTGGTTCGTTAATATTTCATTTTTGGTTCGTTAAAAGTTCATTTTTGGTTCGTTAATAGTTCATTTTTGGTTCGTTGATAGTTCATTTTTGGTTAATTTATTGCATTTTTTTATCTCATGGTCAATGTTAGGCATAATGAAGAGAAAAAATGCTTAGAATGAACAAATTTTCATAAAACATGTCAAACCTAAACGATTACCAACAATATGCTTCATTACCATCTGTTGATTCTGCAAGTGCTGCCAGGGCGATCTGTGTATTGGTTATGGTGGCAAAGATAGCAAAAGCATCAATTGAAGTTCCAGAAGTTTCCTTATACTGGATACCACAGTAGCCCAGTTCAGTTCTAGACAGGGATAAGATATTTTTCACAGCAGGTTCCATTGTGGAACTTCAAGTACACAACTTGTAAACAGACGTCTGAGCCCAAAACTTAAGTTATGAAAACCAGTTTTGAATCCCGGGTTTCAAGAATGGGGTTAGGCAGTTTTGTGGATATCTATATTTTGTTATGAAATATTTTTTTATTTAATTTCTTCATATACTCTATTTTTTTAATCTCTTTAATCAAATCTACACAAATGTTATGACCCCAAAAAGGAAACTCGGGAGTTTCGTTCTGCGATACTCTTTTAAATTTCGGGCTCTGTATTTAGGGATATTTGAGAGGACCCTTTCCATACAAAATAAAATCCCGATAAAATAGACTCTATTTATGAATGTTATGTTTTGTGTTCAAGATTAGAGCATTTCTTTAAAAAATGTAAAACTTAACCCCTGAATGGGCATTATATGCAGCAAGTGGCCGTTAGATGGCAGTCAAAAACCTTTGTGGACATGCAGCATGTCTTACCGGTACAACTATAGACCTGCTTGGCTTAGCCCGTGAGAGCTTAAGAGCAGTCTGTCTATATTTAGTCTGTGGTTCTAGATAGTTAAGCAGAATTAACAAAAATTAAATATAAAGATATTTTCTATAACTTATCAAAGTTGTTAACGATGTAAGCTGAAACCGAACATTCTTGGCAATCTATATATAAATTTGGCTTGTCTGTTTGTTTGTATCCAATAAACGTCAAAACGGCTGAACCGATCGGGCCCAAATTTTTTGTGGGACCTCACGTGACCCCAGGGAAGGTTTATGAATGATCAAAATTCTAAAAATTTGTGTTTAAAAGTTTTTTATTTTTGAAAAATTTTGAAAATGCGCAAAAAAATATTATGAAATCCGCAAACTTTTTTTGTTTTTTTTTTACACTGTACAAAGAGAAGATGTTCAGAGATAAAGCCATAATTAAAAGTTGAAATAGAAGATGGGCGCGAAGCGCCCTAAAAGCCTAGTCTATATATAAATTTGGCTTGTCTTGGTGTTTGTCTGTTTGTTTGTATCCAATAAACGTCAAGACGGCTGAACCGATCGGGTCCAAATTTTTTGTGGGACGTCACGTGACCACAGGGAAGGTTTATGAATGATAAAAATTAAAAAAAAATGTGTTTTAAAGGTTTTAATTTTGTAAAAAAAAATTAAATTCTTGAAAATCCGCGAATTTTTTTTTTAAATCCGCCAAATTTTTTTTCTTTATTTTAACATGCAAACAAAAAGAACATGTTCACAATTTGAATAGAAGATGGGCGCGAAGAGCCTTAAAAGCCTAGAAACTTTAAATTCAAATGGACTCATATCCTGACTTGAGATTAGCCAAACTCCGGTTTGGTTGATTTGATTTAATTTACCTGACACAATTATTGTAATCCATCCCAGCTAACAGTTGGCTTCCAGCCCATCCGTAGCTTTGAATAGTCCCTGTAGTACCAGTGAAGTACTGTACACAATCTTGGGGAGCCCTACACATGCATCAGGTTTAGAAATATGATATATGGGATTTAACAGTTAAATTTGTTAAACTTACGAAATTATATTTTTTATATTTGTTAATCTAAAACGCATCTAACGACTTTTTTTTGATTGCTCAAACTAGGATGAAAAGGCTGCAGCCTAAGGTTGAATAAGGACTAAAATGTTGAATTAGGGTGGATACCGTGTTCTTCATATTGGCTAGGAACATTGTACTAACGTATGTTCATAATGCGGATGCAAATCGAGGAGTGATGCCATTAATTTTTAGTTATTCAATACAATTCAGTATTTTAGGTAGACCGGACTAAATGATTTTGAGCGGGGACACAGAGAGAGGTTCAACTACATATTATGACTCGGAAATTAAGGATTTAGGAATTGTCATGTCCATTGACAGCACTCCATGTCAGCACTATAGTTAAGTATAGCTGAGTCTGTAGCTGTATAGTGTATGGATAGTTCAGTCACTATTAGTTCCAACACATTGAATTCTGTCCTTGGTTTAAGATAAAAGTGGATATTTACTTATATGCTGAGGAGCATTCAATCTGTTGTACAAATATATTGTACTGTTTAGCAGTAGCAATATCCCCCCAGGTCATGGTTAATGTTGCTGTATCAGTAGAATCTGCTCCAACATTCACATACACTAAAATCAGAAGATAATTGATTAAAGGGACTGTAAAGGAAAAATGAAAGGGGGTATAGCTGAAACCTGAGAATCTCCGGCGTTGAACGAGAAATTAATATAAAACTGTGTCACATTTATATGAAAATTTAAATATATGCCATTTTATATAAAAGTTGTAGTATTAAACAGATCGTATTCAACAGATACGGGACCAATCTGCAAAAAAAATTATAACAGGAGCAAACCTGAGATTCTCAGGCTCCTGTGGGATTTCGTCGTTTTTAGATTGGTTGCGTATTTGTTGAATATGATCTGTTTAATACTACAACTTTTAAAAAATTGCGTATACATGAAGTTTGGTGTAAATTTGACACAGTTTTATATCAATTTCTGGAGACAGGAACATCAGATAGAAGTCTTATATGAATCGTTTAACGCCTGAGATTCTCAGGTTTCATTCTATACCCCCTTTCATTTTTCCTTTTCAGTCTCAATTTAAAGAGACTGTTAGCGTGGTTTTAATTGACCCTCCATGCAAAGCCTGGCAGTGCTAGATTAGTTAACGCTTTGTCTGATTAAGATAGAAATGCGTTTGATTATGTAAACTGGTTAATTTCAGTCGTGGTTTCTCTAGAAAAATCAATTTCGCATTCTGCTGCAGAAAAATATGCAAAAATTATCAGATTTAAACACTTTTATATCTATTGATCAGACAATGGTTTCAGAGACCGAATATTGGCTTTCTTGCACTTATGTCGAATTTTGACCCCATGGCAGAAGAAAAAAACTACCCAAAAACTTTTAACAATTGTTCTTTGAATCGTGATTCAATTTTTTAGGTGAGAGATTTTGCAAAGACTAACATATTGCAGTTTTGAAGTCTTGAAAGTTTTATTGATTTTTTAAACGATCCAAACAGATTAACAACATTATAAATATATTATATAGATATCCAGTCACATGGATCCAAAACTAATTCCTACATATGTCATTTTTGATTGCTAGTCCCTCTCAAGTTGGTAATAGATATCTTACTGTGATATCCCGTGTTTGTTCCAGAAATTGTTGGCGGATTTTTCCCGGTTTGTCCAGCGGCGGCCATTGAATCAGTTTTAGCACCAACTGATGTTACAGCGAAGCCGGAGAATGTCTGGAAATCCAGCCGCAGCTGACAAACATCAGAGCTAGCCTGACATAAAAAGTAGAAGCATAAAATGACTGAACATAACATTTAGGAGAACACTTAAATGTCGTCTTTAATATGAAATAACATTAATACGTAATAACATTCGCTTGTCACCTTTTTACAGGAAGGATTATTACTGAACAGTAACCAGTCCCTAGGCCTGAAGCCGTTCCTTCCATAAACTACATTGGTCGACAACTTTACGTCTCCTATATTGGTCGTCAAATGTACGGAGAAATATCTATCTATCAGATAAGAATTTAGCATGAGACATCTAGCGGCCAACATATCGTCCCCCAAAGTACGTGAACTACATGTTTTGAAATTAGGCATTTGATCTATGCCTGCCTGCCTCGAGCCAAACCGTCAGAAAGAAACACAAAGAGAGAGGTTTCGTGATTACTTGGAATCAATGAAACAAAGCTAATGCTTATTAAACCCTGGCAAAGTCAAGAATCATCATTTCACATTTGTAAAACTGGAGAAAATTGAGATAGAGATCAAATCCTGAAGAAGAAAAGAAAAAAGAAACCCACAGAAGGGTAAATAATCAGGGATCTACCAAAGAGTGAAATAATCAAGAGGCTTACAGATCACATAACACATGCAGAGATTATGGAGATCTAAATTGAAGTTAACCTCATCAGAACATCCTAGTTCAGAAAGTGAAAATTTGCCAGTGGAACTAGCTTATCTGTTAAAAAAAAGGAAGAAAGAAAAAATAGAATAAGCAAATTAGCAGGCTTGTTTAAAATGGAAACAGATCAACTCTGTCCCTTGGGCAGTGTTTTGAAATTAGGCATTTGATCTATTCCCATTTTACTATATATAATATGTACAATTGCTGCGCGCACGCACGTATGTATGCCTGGATCCTGAGTATAGCTTCAGTAAGGCTTAAACCAACCATGGACGCTGATGTAAACTTACTTTGATTTCTTTCTTAATAGATGACATTCGTGTAAGTAATTATATGAAATCATTATAAAAATTGTTCTTATCAATGTTATATTGTTGCTATAATACTTCAATCTATTTCAGTTAAACATCCAAACTCTTCTACCAAGTAACATCATCTGAATAAAGAATTAAAGAAAACACAGTAAATTAAAGTGAGAGTAGTTTGAAATCGGTCATTCCAAGGGAAATCAATACACTACACGACCACTTTCGAATGGAGAGAACGGGCTCTGGCATTTCCAAAGTGTGGTCTGCTTTTTTGCCCTTTCAAAATTAAGGGCTGGAGACATTTAGAATTTCGTTCAATATTGACTTTTTTCAAAATAAAAACTGTCATTAGATAAAAAACTTGTATATAAATTAAAGACGATCTTTAAATTAGATTTAAGGAAGACTTAGAAGAGTATAAAAGTTGCTAAGATGGCAATGCCCGATTTTCTTTTATACCCTTGAAAGCTTTGTCTGATCGAGTATGAATTAGATTTCAATGTTTTTTCTTTAAATTGTTCATTTTCAATTGCAGTTTCTCTGCAAAAGTGAAAAGCGCATTTTTTGTTTATAAAAACAATTTAGAAACTTACAGAAATAAACCCTTTTCGAGAAATTAAAAAAACCTTGTTAACAGTGTAAACACAAGTTCCAGTTGTAGTTGGCGTATACGTAGACGGATATCTAAATATTATGATAATAATTATTATTATTTTTAAGATAATTATATCTAGAACAATAATACTGATAACATCGGAATAATAATAATATTAACCATAAGTTGAAGGGCCCGGCTTGCCCGTGCCTATATCACCCCCCGGTCACCCATGAGTGTTCACAAAAAATTCAGCCCAATCAGTCCAGCCGGCTATAGGCAACATATAAAAGGCTAGTATTACATATTTCAGCTTACCCAGGGTTTTGAATATATGTATTGTTGTAGGACAAGGATGACCCGCAAGTGGAAACAGCCATATAACCTAAAATGATATTCTTAAAGGGACTCTCGACGAAAATTCGAATGACAAAATTAGAAAAAATCACATTTTTTAAATTAAATCTTTTCGAGAGTTGACGGAAAATTGTTTTTTCTATTGTGCTCCAAAATTTCATAAAAATTTATAAACAATTGAAAAAGATATGATAAAATACAAAAAAAATCGATGTGAAAAACATTGTTCTTCCCTCGCTATATCTAAAAACTATATCTTTCACATTATTGTTAAGATGAAGGTTTTAAAGGAACTGTTATTAATCGGGCAGACACCTCGTAAAATGAACGGCCACTTAAACTTACAACGATAGTCCCATTAAGTTGAAATAATAATTTTAAATGTTAAATCAAGAATGTAAGTTTTAAGAATGGGGTGTCACTCGTATTACGTCTTTAGTCAACTTAAGAACTATAAATGCAAATTGTTAAAAAAAAAATTTTATAATCCCTATATTTCTTTGCAATCTGATGGTGTAACCCTTTGATAATTCAGACTTAGATCATCTAAACTAACAGAACTCATAGTGAAATATCTAAGGTTACAACATTGTGTTGCAAATCAGAGTTTGTGACATTTTTTTTTGAAAAAATACTTACAGCAGACTCCAAATCCTGCAGCACAAGTTCCTGAAGCAGACCCGGACCGTGATGTACATTCCGATGTTGAGATACATGTACCGTAGGTTGTAGAACCAGTTTTCGTTGTACATTTCTATTACAGAGGATGAGACAACATTAAGTAAATGTACATTTATTTTTATGAAATTTAAAGACCTATGAATAACAAGTTATTAATCTTTAGAAGCAATAAAAAAGAATAAAAAATTTTGAAATTAAATCCACCAACTGACATATTTATAAGTTTTGTTTCGTGCTGAAACATCATAACATTTAAAATATAGATTTTTAAACAATTAAATTAGCGCGGCATTTTAACAATATTTGTGCTCAACAAGTGTTAATGAGAAATTACAAGTGACCTCCTTGGATATTCCCCTTAAACTTTTGTCTTATCAATCCCGGATACAAAATATCCCTATTTTTTCAGCTAAAAATTCATTATTTTCAATTTTGGATTCGCTTTTGTATTTATGCTGCAAAGACAATGGTGCACGATTGTCAGAATTCGAATAGAAAAAAGACGACATCTTTTTCATTGTTTATCAGATAGAGGTTTAAATAGTATTATAAATATGATTAAAATTGAAAAGAACTTACTAGGTTCGGGAAATTAACAACAGCAAACAGGGATAGTTGTCCTAAACAAGTCACCACAAATAAAACATGTAAGATTTCAGTATGACATGAAATTTAGTCTTTGCCCCCAACTCTGATTTTCTAATCTCTATATCTTTGCAACTTCAAACTTTGAATTCTGTCAGTTAAAAAGCTATGTTTGAAATTGCAAAGGTTTACGCCATCAGGTTGCAAAGATATTGGGATTGAAAAAATTGAGATTGTGACAAAGACTCAATCCCTTTCATGTTTTATCCATAACTTCTCGTATTGAAGAGATATTGACAAAAACTAAGATGTTTTTAATGTTTAGTGAAAAAGCAAATGAAGTCATAATGAAGTTTATTTTTGAATTTCTCTTTGTGTAATTGTAATCTATATTTTTATATGTTTGCTGTGATTTGTCTGATTTTTTTATTTGGATCAAAAATAAAAACTTTACTATTAAGCATCGTTTTAAGCCATAATTTTTAAACCATTATTAATGGGTTTGAACTTTAAAGAGACTACACACAAATCTGAGATGTGTTTCCTAATTCAAGATTTTATGATTGATAAGTTTACTCTCACTACATTTACTTTTTACTCTGATCATAGATATTTGAATCTTCATGACTGCAGAAACAATCTCAAGAACTGACTCGCGGGTTAACTTAAACCAAAATATATTTTCAATAAAATGTGGAACTATCGCTATACTTTATTAACTCTACATGAGGTTAGGTTCATCATCATTAACACAATTTAAAAAATTGCCTTATAGAGAAAAGTCTATCTCAATGTATAAAAAATAATCTTAATAGTTTGACAAATTCACAGAGGAAAACAGTAAATTCGTAAATTCTTGTTATCCCATATTTATATATAAAGTTGTAATCTCTGTTTGTCTGTCTGTTTGTCAGATCATAACTCATGAACCCCAGGACCGATTTGCCTTAAATTTTGATTGGGAAAGTCAGGAGAGCCATGGAAATGTTCTTCTAAATTCTAAGTTGAGTGTGTCGACTTTTATTTCTAAAATTTAGTTTCCAAGTGAAATTGACCAAGTGCGGGTAAACGACTTGAGTAACTATAAGTAGTCTGGGTAACGCTGATAAAGGATGACTTTGGCATATATTGGGAGCAAAAAATCTGGGTTTTATTTAGAAAAAGAGCTTACTTTGGTCTCTTCCTTCCAAATGTGTTGTGTTCAGGTTTAAAGGACTAGTTTGTCCTCTCTCCAGGAGCAGCACAACGAGAAGAATGAGTAGATGCATATTCAACCTAAACATTTACGGGTGAACATTTTAAAAAAATCAAATACTTTTCAATCCAAGATTGTAAAGGAATTGAGTTTTTGTCACAAACTCTGATTTTCTTATCCTTATATCTTTGCATTTAATGTCGGAGCTCTTAGATATTTCAAGATATTAATCATTTTAGATCAAATTATGATAATTTAAAATTTTCAAGTTAAGTAAAAACTAAAACACAATCTTACTTATTTATTTTTCTCGACAATATCGATATTGACAAATTCTTTTTTAGAAATTGAGGAGGTATTTTTATTATCAAGTGATGTCACGAATAAAGACTTAAAATATTTAAATTTCACGTTTCATGGACGATAATTTAGAAGTGAATAAAAATAAGTCAAAGTCCGTCCGGGTAGATAAAGTGGTCAGCCGGGACAATAAAGTGGGTTTTGAACATATTTTAGTACTTAAGTCAGGATGAGAAAGGGAAATAATGTGGTTTCTAGGGATATAAAATATTACCTCCTGATCCCTTGAACCTGGATGAGACTATGACGAAGAAATCTCATGAAATTAAATTATTGACGCGGCCTAGGTTCGCAACCAGTCAAGGATAAAGGATGAAGCATGTTGGATGTGAAATCAAAGTAAATATTACCGAACTGTGACACAATTAAACCCTTCAATCCACCCTAAACGATATGCCTTGCACTGTGCACATCAATTTCTAATTATGATAATAATAATGAGGGTTAATTTTATGTTAATAACAACAACATTAATAACAATATTGATGACAATTTTACTACTACTAGACTAACCTATTTCAATTGTGAACATTTTCTCTTTGTAAACATTGTAAAACAAAAACAAATAAAAATTTCGCGGATTTTATCAATATATTTCGTGGATTTTCAAAATTTTCAAAAATAGAATTTTGTTAGAGTCAAATATTTGAAAATTCGATCATCCATAAACCTTCCTTGGGTCACTCGAGGTCCCACAAAAAAATTGGGCCGGATCGGTTCAGCCGTTTTGACGTTTGTTGGATACAAACACCCTAACAGACAAGCAAAATATCTATATAGATTACTATTTTTACTATAAAAAAATTCGAATTTTTTAAAGCCTATTAATAGGCTACCCATGAGTGCTTACAAAAAATTATAGCCCATTCGGTCCAGCCGTTTGGCCGGCCAGAGGCAACATATTTATATGAATGTCTTGTTTTATTATATAGAAAGATTATAATAATAATAATGATAAAAATAAAATTAAAAATACTGATAACAATAATAACAGCAATAAAATGATCTAAAATGGAATAAAAAATTACGGAATACAGGGGACGTTAGTTCCAAAGCGCGATTTGACCTATTTCAAACACTCAGTGTTCCTTAAAGTTAAAATGATACTAATGTATCTTAATACATTTCCGGATTTACAGGGACACACTTTTTTCTAAATCATATACTATGATGATAATCCATAGAATTTCAAACATTTTTGGAAAGCACTTGTGTATTTTCTTTTGGAATATTCCCTATATATTAGGAACCTGATGTTGTAAACCTTTAATATTTCAAACTTTGACTTTTTGATCCTTACTTAATTTATAGTTTGAAATATCAAAGGTGTACAACATTGGGTTGCAAAAATTTAGGGATTAGCACATAAGATTGTTCGACATCACTCAGTTCCTGTGCAAAAATAAAATTAAATATTACAAAAGTTCAGTTATTAAGCAAAACTTTGCTTTAGTTTTTGAATGTTAAAGGATTATGTCCATTTTGCTTTGTTTGGAAGATTTTGAAGAACACATAAAAACTTGACTGAGTTTGTTCCGATACAGACCTCGGGTATATTTAGGCTCTGGTAAGTCAGGTTTTATGACAAAAAAAGGGAATTTCGAGATTGCAAAAACATACCAGCAAAACATGTTGAGATTGAAAACTTGTTTATCACATTGTCAGCTGTGAAATAAAAAAAGCATACAATGAGTACGGCAAACTAAATACATACGCAGAAAGGCTAAACTTATGCCAAATCACTGGTGCGTCTTTGTGACAGCGTAGCCCCTCTAGTTTTAATGTTACGCAAATTATAAAAAAAAACATATTTATCCAGAGGCTGAATTTAAAGAATTTGAGCCGCGGCTTAGATTTAAGCCACGCCTCAAATATTGTTGGTTCCACTCAAGGTACTAATGCAAGGAAAGTTAATTGCGGTCGCTTTTACTCTGCGTGCATATTGAAACCGGTTCTCTCTGGGCGGAATTTGTAAACAAGAATAGATCCATCAGTGTTTGTTTGGTATTCGAAGAGGGTTAATAGCACTAAATTTTGATGATTTTGACAATTCACAAAAAAGTTTCCGAAAATTTCATTGATTTTTTTATGTAAAAGATGGACTGTGACATCGGCCTTGTGTTTACTTTTCCGCCCAAAGACAGTACACTGCAGTACAAAACATGGGTACACCTCTGAAATAACTTTCCCTGCATAAGTACCTTGGTTCCACTTAAAATTGTATTAAGTTTTTTCAGTGGCGTTAATAAGGGGGGTTATTGGGGTTACTTACCCCCCCCCCTAGAATCCTTGGGGTAATTTCCCCCCCCCCCCTAGAATCTTTGGGACACAAACATCCCGGTTTAGTAACTTGATCTCCATTCTCCATGTCCATGATTACCATGCAGATAATCTTACTCAATCATTTAAAAAAAGTAACATAGATAAATTTTACCCCAAAATCGAGTTTTTTAATGCAGTATCGTACTTGCACTATATGTTAAATTAAGTATATAGCTCTTTCGAGGGGGGGGGATAAAATGTTAAAAGATCAAGATTATTAAGAATAAAATTGTAAAAAGTAAGATATTTTCCTTTTAATATAGTGAAATTAACATATATACCATATTAAATTGACGACAAGAAAATTTTAGAAATTAGAAATTAGAATATATACAAATACAATAATTTTTTTTGTTTGTGGAGTAGCTTTTTTAAAGATTTAAAAAAGTTACATCTTTTTCCTCTGAGAGAAAAACTATTTTTTGTGTAACTTAAAATAAATTCAGTTTCTTACAGATCTTTGTAGTTAATGTAAAACGAATGACTATAATGAAGGATATAAAACAAGGTGAAAGCTGAAAGGTAGGAAATGAAGCCTGTATTTGACGGAGTTTGTAAATGCCAGAAATGAGTGGAAAATGCAAATCAAACCAAACTAAAACCCATAATTTAAAAAATTTCCCCCCCCCCCCCCCTACAGAATCCTTATTTATGCCCCTGAGCTTTTTAAGATTTAAGCCGGCGCTCAATTAAAGCCAGGTTTTGGGTGATTTGAGACTCGGCTTAATTTCATTAAATTCGGACATTGGTAACATTGGTAAGTACTAAAAAACTTTGTTGTTCTCAATCTATATAATAAAGCAAGACATTCGTATGTATATATGTTGCCTATAGGCGGCCAAACGGCTGGACCCATTGTGGACACTCATGGGTGGTCAGGGGTAAAAAAAATCTTAATTTTTTCAAATATTTTTTTTCAAAATTTTTATTTTTATTTTTTCCACGGGCAACGCCGGGTCCTACAACTAGTAGCTCTTAAAAGAAGGAATTGTGATCGAAAACACAAGATATAATAAAATTTCAAGTATTCCCCTTTGCAAAGATGACAATGTACGATCTTAACAGTTCCCTTAAAACCTTTATCTGATCAATAATTTAAAGATATTGTCGTTTCTCTTGGTTTAAAAGTGTTTATTTTGATGCTTACAATATAATTTCCTTTGTTAGAAATACGAAAGTCACTTTTAAAGGGAGTGACCGGCTATGTAAGGTAGTTGAACTGAGTATGCAGTGTTGTGGAAAACTTCTTTCGGATTCATTTGAGACATACTAAACTTTTAAAAAATCTGTAAATCCTGAGTTTGAGCGCAAATTCGACGTTCAAACCACTCCTACTTTGGGGGTGGATACGTTTTCAGAATTAGTTTTTTTTAATTATTAGATAACGACAACGAAAAATAAATTAAAAATTATACAGTAATCTTATTAGATCGTTACGTTAGGAACATATTTCTCAAAAGAAATTTGTCAATAAATCAATGATAGAATCGATTATATCGTTTTCATTATTATATTGAACTTCTAGTTTTCTTTGAATTTATTCGAAGATTTGTTCAAATTTCGTCTTTTCAATAATAATTCTAGAAGATCTGCAAAAATTTGTGAATAATGAGAAACCAGAATAATGAGATAATAGAAACTAATAATTGAACAAGATTACTTATTTTCGATGATAAGATTAATTTTTATTTTCTCAACATGTTCCTATACATGACGTCTGTAGTTAATTGAAGAACTTTTTAACATTTTATGTCGTCTTTATTTAATATTTAAAAAAAAACTAATTCTGAAAACGTATCCACCCCCAAAGTAGGAGTTTTGAACATCGAATTTTCGCTCAAACTCTGGATTTACAGATCTTTAAAAAGTTTAATATGTCTCAAATGAATCCGAAAGAAGCTTTCCACAACTCTGTATGCTCAGTTCAACTACCTTACATAGCCGGTCACTCCCTTTAAGTTTTGCATAAAAACAACAATTGAAAATAAAATCAGTTATCATAATTATAGATATTGATTTATACTTGATCCGACAAAGCTTAAAGGGTACCATTGTGAATCGAGTTTTGCCATCTTTACATGAAAGGTCACTTAAAATTACGCTGACAGTCCCTTTAAAAAATATTTTTCCAGGAAAGCAGTTAGCATTACCATAGATTAGGTAAAGAAGAATTATTTGAGTCATTTCCGCGGATTTTGGCGATGATTTTTCCAAAATCAATTTTATAGGTGAGATTGAAGTTGTTTGTGCCTTCCGGACTATACTCAGTATAAGCTGAGGTTAATGAATCTTGTAAGAGTACTTAGCAGCATAAACAAAGGAAGAGAAAATATTGAGTTAATCGGTGTAATTATCAACGTTTAGAGAACATCTAGATCGTCATGCTCGTGTAAAGTTAAAGGTGTATCATTATCATCAATGCAATAATTTATGTTGAAATCTCTGAACACCTGCACAATTTAACCTAATTTGCAAAGTTGAATTTCTATGAAATTTGGTTGATTTTCGTTTGAAATTAGTGTCAGAAGTTATTGCAAATTGAAAATTTTTAATAATTAATACAGCAAATTGGATGCAGGATCTATACTAGAGTTTAACAAAAATTAAATTACTGGTAAAAAATTTCTAAGAAGATGGTAGTTTATCTATGTAATTTATTTATGGTGTGTTGATTAAATGAAAAAATATGAATCATATTTCCACTCATATATGTATAAAACATGTATGTACGCAAACATTAAACCTTAATTCAAAGATGAATTTGGTAGCTTGATTCACAATAGTACTCTTTTAACCTTTACAGAGGTAGAGGGATACATATCGTCGTTTTTTCTTTAAAAAAAGATGCATATCTTTTTGCAATATCTTTATGTTTTAAAGAAAGAAAGAAAAAAACGATCGGTATAACGCGTTATCGTTTTTCGATAGTTTTATTTTTGAATATTCTTTCTGTTAGGGCATAAAAAGCAAATGTTTAGAATAAATAATTTCTTACACTATGCAAAAATTTCACCTTGAAAGGCAAAAAAACGCAATGTGGATATGGACAGGACTTAACGTTTTAGAACTGTAACAACATCTTGTCTAGCTCCAGTTGAAATTATAATTTGTGTAAGAGCTAGGCGTAGGACGTTTTTACTTTTCTGAAAAAAGTTTAGTTAACAGCGTAAAATGCTAAAAACCTTTTTTTCAACGATCGTTTTTGAAAAAGGATCTTTACTTATGTTTAAAAACGAATCAGTAGTTTTTTTTATTTTTTGTTCGTCCTTTCGTTAACGAAGGTAGGCTGTTTTTTAAAAAAATTTTATGATTGTTAACAATATTTAACAACAGTAGCTTCGTTAACGATTTTTAACACCGTACTTTCACGCAAATGAGTGCTTTTCATTAAGATATCATTGAAGTAACATTTTGTCTCATTCATTTTAGTCTAAGTAACATTTTGTCCACAGTAACATTTGGTCTAAAATAACATTTGGTCTAAAATAACATTTGATCTAAAGTAACATTTGGTCTAAAGTAACATTTGGTCTAAAGTAACATTTGGTCTAAAGGTACTTTTTACTCAGTCAAGGGCGTAAATAGAAATAAATCTGGGGAGGGGCAAATTTACGCGAAGCGGAATTTTTTTGCCCTAGGAGCTCCTAGGGGGAAGGGGAGGCAACAAATTGGAAATTCAAAACATTTGGCTTCTTAAATACTTTAAAGGTACACATACAGTCCAATTACTGTACAAGCACTACTTTATCTCTCCTTGAAACATAACTAGCAGAAAAAAACAGCAAAATAATTTTTTTAATGTTCTTCACTCTTCAGTTTCAGATTTGAAAAGTGTGATAGCTCTGAGTTCAAGGAGGGGGGGGGGCTCCACCCCCTTTACACGCCTAGGGGGCACTTATCCCTTGCCCCTACTCCCCTGTTTACGCCCTTAGTTATGGTGCAAAGTAATATTTGTCTACATTAATATCAAAATGAAATGAGTTTTTACCACAAACTCAAATTTCTTGCAAGCTTGGTGTAAACCATTAATATTTCAAACTAAAACAAAGGTTAGGTAAGGACAATTTCTGGTCCGAGTGCTGCTGCTAGGGGGCCGAGCGCTGCGGCCTTTTTAATGTTAAAAAATATGATGGCTCTCACCCTATTTTGAGTTAGGTCAAGTTAAGACAATTTCTGGGCCGAGCGCTGTTGCTTGAATGTGCTAGGGGCCGAGCGCTGCGGCTTATTAAATGTAAAATAATATGATGTCTCTCACATTATTTTGGGCTAGGTAAGGTTAAGACAATTTCTAGGCCGAGCACTGCAGCTAGGATAGGCAAGTGGGCCGAGCGCTGCGGCCTCTTAAATGTTAAATAATATGATGTCTCTCATATTATTTAGGGTTAGGTTAGATTAAGACAATTTCTGGGCCGAGCGCTGCGGCTAGGATGGGTAAGGGGGCCGAGCGCTGCGGGCTATTAAATGTAAAATAATATGATGTCTCTCATATTATTTTGGGCTAGGTAAGGTTAAGACAATTTCAAGGCCGAGCACTGCAGCTAGGATGGGCAAGTGGGCCGAGCGCTGCGGCCTCTTAAATGTTAAATAATATGCTGTCTCACATTCTGTATTGGGTTAGTTCATGTTAAGACAATTTCTGGGCCGAGCGCTGCGGCTAGGATGGGCTAGGGGGCCGAGCACTGCGGCCTTTTAAATGTTAAATGATGTGCTGTCTCTCACCTTATTTTGGGTTCGAACAGGTTAAGATTATTTCTATTCAGAGCGCTGCGGCTAGGATTGGCTAGGCCGAGTGCTGCGGCTAGGATGGGCTAGGCCGAATGCTGCGGCTTGGATTGGCTAGGCCGAGTTCTGCGTCCTCTTAAATGTTAAATAATTCTAACATAGTTCATAGTTTGAAATATAAAAGGTCTACGACATCAGGTTTGTCAATGTAAGGTGTTAATAACTAAGGTGTTATATATCATTTGTTTAACGATCATTTATCCTAAGAAATCAATTTAAAACAAAAAGTAAAGTTTTCCCTGTTAATAACGACAGAAATCTTTTTTTTTCAAAAGTAGAGTGTTATAGAGTCCCAACCAAAAGGATGAAAAACTGGCAGGAAATACTGACAGAAATTGTCTTTAGAGAAAATGTAACTCTATAGACCAAAAGTTACTTTAGACCAAAAGTTACTTTAGACCAAAAGTTACTTTAGACCAAAAGTTACTTTAGACCAAAAGTTACTTTAGGCCAAAAGTTACTTTAGGCATAATGTTACTTTAGACCAAATTTTAATTTAGACGAAATTTTACTAAACAGTGAATCCCGGATATATGAATACATAGTAAGAGTTTTTTGTAATGTCGTGTATTGCATATTTAAGATCAAATGCCGTGGAAAAATGAGTTTAATATATTTATATCAATTGCATTCATATTTCAGGGCTATTAATTTACCTTGAATTAAAAATAAAATTTTTGTTTTTTAGAATTATCAAAAAACTTATGACGGTCTATGAATTCATATATCTGGGATTCGCTGTAGATAAAAGTTACTATAGACATAAGCTTCATTTAGACATTATGTTACTTTACACCAAAAGTTAATAATTAGACATAATGTTACTTTAGACGACATGTTATTTAGACCAAATGTTACTTTAGACTATGCGTTACTTAGACCAAAAGTTCTTAGACAAAAGTTATTAGCCAAAAATAAATTAGACAAAATGTTACTAATCCGTTTTAACTCCCCGCACATTTTATTGTTTTCACTAACTCCCTTATCCATAGCTTAGCCTACCTAATATATTTAAAGATATAATACAATCTTTGCTTGGGTGGAAAACCCTAAGGTAAAAAATATTTAGGTCAGAATCCTCTAGGTTTATCTTATTTTATTAGGAAAATTTTGATTTTGAAAAGTTCAAAAGTAACAGTTCGATATTTTTGACCCTTTGTTTTTTTCTAAAACGTAGGTTCTTTAGTTTTTATAAAATCAAGAACGAAACAAAAATAAATTCTTTTTTACGTTTTTAAAATTCAGATTATTTGGAAAGAATTGATTTTCATTCATATTCGTTTTATACAACTTTTAAGGTTTTGAGACTTTTAAATACTGGTCAAAACTTTGTTCTGTAAAAATTTGCTTTTAATAAAATGTGCAAACTTTTCAACTTATAACGTAAAATTTAGGTAGAAAAAAATGTACAAAAAAATATAGTTTTTGATTTGTTTCTTGTTTATATTTTTTTCAGGAAAGCAAATGTTCATATTAAGCAATTTCTTGGATTTTTAAAACCTTTTTCTTGAAAACGAACCACTCGTTTTGAACTTGTAATAAAACGAAAAAAACTATCGTTTTTGTAAAAGGTCGTTAGCGATCGTTAACAGGGTTAAAGGGTCGTTGTTAACAGTTGTTAACAAAGGGTCGTTTTCAAACACAATCATTTTAAAAATGATAGTTTTTACAAGGTGACAGTTTCGTTTTTCGTGTTTTCTTCTTTGTTTCAAAACGAAATGATTGTTTTTCAAAAAAGTGGAAACGATCCATCCCTTTTTGTGGATAACCCTGTAAGTGTACTCTATAGAAAACTAATTATCATTATGATTAGTAGTTGGTAAGAATATTTAAACAATTATATAATGTTTATTTAGAGGAACAAACAGTTTAAATGGAACATGCTATACTGCAAGTGAATGCTCATCTAAGGTAATGTTTTCATCATTTAGAATTTTTAAATCAATTTTTGTTGCTAATTAGTAAGAATATACTGCAGCTTAGTCGTTCAATTCGGAGATTCAAGGACCTTTTTTTCAAACCTTTTTTATCAAACTGACTCATACAGATTATGTTTCTCAGTTAACCCCTATCAAGAAATTAGTTAATGATGGTTATGGGAGAGGGGGGGGGGGTGATAGGGGTTGATGGGGGAGGAAATTTCAAAATTTGTATCCGGAACACTAGGTCTAAACATAAAGTGTACCGTTATTAATCATTAAAATTTAAAAATGTTCATAAAACTTGGAAAATAAAACTTCTAAAGCTAGTTTCTCTAAAGATAAAAATATCATAGGATACGAAGGGGGGGGGGGGTTTAATTATATTAGTAGTTAATATAAGAAGGAAAAATGATAAAATTCTGTAAAGTCATCTCTAAAGTCTCATCCCTGGTTGTAACTAAACATTTTTTTTATTTCTAACTTATTTTATTTTTAAACTTTGCTGACTTGAAGATTGAACAAAGAACATTTTCAAAGAAATATTGGTAATAAGAAACACGGGCAGCGTTGTACATTTGAATTTCGAGCCGGGTCAATCTTTCCTGTCCCAGTTTGTACTGTATCTCCCAGACATTCACAACATTTACATGGAGGTATGTAATTTATCATAAAATTCTATTATTTTATAAAAAAAAACACAAAAAGTTTAAAAACCATGCTTTTCTAAAGTTATAGTAAACCTCAAATACTCAAAACCTCAAATTGTCCAAAATGTTTGTAAAAAACATTTGAGATAAGAGCATGAACAGTTTAAAAAAATACAATAGTTTTTATGCTATCCAATTGTTTGCCTAAATACAATTTTAGAAAGAAATCCGTAATTTAATTTTGACTTCCTCGGCAGAAATGGTATCTAGTTTGATAAAATAACATGAATAAATTATAAATGAAAATTATTAACATTGAATAAAATGTTTGTAGTTTCAAGTCTTCATAAGACACTTTGTTCACACATTTTGAAAGATGAAATTGTACCCCTTTTCACATATATATATAATATATATATATTTATATTTATTAATTAAGATTAAGAAATCACTGGAATAATTTAAATAATTACTATTTATTTGAACCAGTTGTACCTACCTTAACTTACTCGCATTTGTTTTCCAGCTTTCTATTTTATCTGTTCTAAAAAAGTTGTGTTTAGATGTATTGGTGTATGTCAGGATTATTTCTCCTGACTCTGCTGTCAGACCACGTGGTTACTCATGTGTCCGCGGAAAATATCGAGGGAGGGAACTCGACCTCCTCCTCCGCGAGGGGGGGAAAGCTTGTCTTCAATGTTGTAAGATTCCCAAACTCTGCCTGCTCGTAAGTAAACGTTTATCTTATCTTAATGTTTTCACGGATATTCCTGTTTTTCAGGGAATATACAAATCTGAAATTTAAATCAACGTAAGCAACGAAAATATAAGTAAATTTGACCCTTCATGCAAAGATGACCATGTCCGATTTACAACGGTACCCATTTGGGATTTACATTTTACACAAGTAGATTTGAAACATTGATTCTCTATAAGATAGTGCATATTAACATGGACTACTCTTAAGTAATTTTGTCACCTACGCTTAGATTTAAGGAAAGGCACAACCGAGCCCTTTAAACCTTTACTTGATAAATAATGTTGAAAATATTTATATTAATTTTGATAATTTCCTCTCGTGGTTTCTGCATAAAAATGCGCCTTGAAAACCTTAATTGAAAATAATAAAAATTTAAAGAGGAATTGCTCTGAACATTTTAGAGATACAAGGTTGTCCACAAAGAATGAGACTTCAGAGACGACTGTACGGAATTTATACTGATTGTTTTCTTATATTCGCGATTCCCTGCAACTGTAAACTTGTTTGTCTCTTTGTCAAATAATAAAACAAGCTATTAGATAACTGTATTTAAAGCAGAATACATAATTTAACCTAGGGATCGTCTCACTTCATAGTTTTAGCTGTTCTTCACTGTAAGTGAATTAAACAATTATATAATGTTTATTTAGAGGAACAAACAGTTTAAATGGAACATGCTATACTGCAAGTGAATGCTCATCTAAGGTAATGTTTTCATTATTTAGAATTTTTAAATCAATTTTTGTTGCTAATTAGTAAGAATATACTGCAGCTTTGAAAGATAGGTTAGATTCAAAGACCTTTTTTTCAGAATCTGTTTATTTATTATTTATTGTGGTTTTCTGGAGTTTACATTTTATCCCTAAAAAGTCTAAGTTTTCTTTAATTTCCTCTGACCTTTCCTTTTTAGAAACATTTAATAAGGTTTTTTATCAAACTGACTCATATTTTTGTTTATACTTCTTTTAAGAAGTTTCAAAATTCAAATTCTGTACCATCATTTAATCATTTATTTTAAAATATAAAAAAGGGGAGAGGGGGGATCCCCCCCCCCTCATCCAAACTCAATCCATTTTAAGATCGAATACATTTTTACTGTACAGAGTGGTACAGCTGCTGGCTCCTGTGCATCTGGGTTCGGAGTTTGCTGTACATTCTCTATTAGCTGTGGTACTTCATCATCAGTAAGTCAATTAAATAAAATAATTGTCCAGCTTTTTATTTTTTATCATTTCTATTTCTTTCAACTTTAAAGTAGTCGAGATTAACTTCAGGGTGTCCTAAGGAATATACAGGGTGTCCTAAGGAATATACAGGGTGTCCTAAGGAATATAAAGGATGTCCTAAGGAATATACAGAGTGTCTTAAGGAATGTACTGGGTGTTCTAAGGAATATATCTGGTGTCCTGAGGAATATACAGGGTGTCCTAAGGAATATACAGGGTTTCTTATTCGGGATTTTTGGGACTGAACAAGAAGATTTAAAAAGATGGAATAATTTTAAAAACTTGTATGAAGCTTTTATAGATTGTGCATGAAGAAATATCATGGTTTTTTGAAAACTGCTTAATTATAACGTTTAATATATCCATATAGAGCTAGATTTGAAAGAGCTCTTTCATGGGTAATTAATTGCATAGCTCGTTGAACTTTACCACCAAGCAAATACTGGTCTAATCTTTCCAAAGATATAGAGATTAAAAAATCAGAGTTTGTGAAAAAGACTCTATTCCTTTTTGTGAAGGTTTCAACATTTCAAAACTTTATCCGTGTAATAGTTTGCTTTTATTGGAATAACATTTTTACCGTACATTAAAATAAAAAATTAACACTTAACAAAAACTTGAAAATTTTTGGTTCGTTTTTGCTTATATCTTCTCATAGGCGTTGAAAATAATCATTGGGTTAAGTTAATGTCCTTCACTATTGATAGATTGACTTGTTTGAGATAAATTTGAACATAACAATCCTTGTTATGGAAATAATTTCTCAAAATTACAAATCTAATCTATAGTTACGTCAAACCATAGTAAATTGCACGTAAATATTTTCAATCAAAGTTTACCTCAATGCAGACCTAGAGGAGCTACGAGGGAACAAAATCGTAGCATTAATGTCGCTAAAGTTAACCTTTTCCTTCTGCCTAGTTTCTAGTGTAATATATATATATTTAGGAGAATAACACTTATGCAATTATTTCTACATACTCTACTTCTACTGATTCAGATCCTTGTATTTATACGTTTTGCAGGTTAATATATAATTTATTAAAGGGAGTGACCGGCTATGTAAGGTAAGTTGAACTGCGTATGCAGTGTTGTGGAAAACGTCTTTCGGGTTCATTTGAGACATATTAAACTTTTTAAAGATCTGTAAGTTCTGGGTTTGAGCGCAAATTCGACGTTCAAAATCTACTTTGTGGGTGGATACGTTTTCAGAAATAGTTTTCAAGATTTTATTAAGTTAAAGTTTAGTTTTTTAAACTGAGAAAGTCCATATTTTTTTGTTAAAATTTGTCTAAATTGACAGCGAACACTCTTGATTTAGGAAATAAAATATCGCAGAAAAATCGCTTGTGTAAACGTTGGATTGCTGCCAATTAAGCGACGAACAATCGCTTATATTCAACAAAATATCGATTAATTGGCAGCAAAAAGTTAGATGACTGCAAACTAACAGATTTTTTGTCTGATAAAAGCGATATTTTGATTTCGTAATTAAGAGCGTACTTGCTGAATAACCCCCTAGTTTGTGCTAGAAATTCTTAACAATTTTTGCCAAAGAAAAAAACTTTTTAATACATCGAATCGTCACAATTGGTCTTCAAGGCACATATCGTCTCTGGCAGAAATTGTTCTGCTAGCTATCCGTGTTGGTAATTTCTGATCTGTTTGAAATTTAGGAGGAATGCAAACATTTGCAAACTGAGAATTGATTTCGAGTCTTTTACCACCGCACCTCCTCAAGGGTATGTAGCTGAAGCTACAGCTACAGCTACAGCTTTTTCAAATTCATTCAGGGTAAGAGTTTCCCAACAAGGTTACAGTAAACAATTGTCAGTGTACAGTACAGCTAACAGAGCCCGAAATTTAAAAGAGTATCGTAGAACGAAACTCCCGAGTTTCCTTGTTGGGGTCTTAAATTTGTGTAGATTTTGATTTAAGAGATTCGAAAAAATGTAGAACATGAAGAAACTAAATAAAATTATATTTTTTAACAAAAATGTTGATATCAACAAAACTGCCTAACCCCATACGTGAAACCCGGGTTCTAAAACTGGTTTTCATGACGATAACCTGTCTTAAGTTTTGGGCTCTGAGCACCAGAGCCCGAAATTTAAAAGAGTATCGTTGAACGAAACTCCCGAGTTTCCTTTTTGGGATCCTAACATTTGTGTAGATTTTGATTTAAGAGATACGATCAGCAAATAATATCAAAAATCAAGACGACATTCAAGTCCTCTTGCATACTGTCATGTTTCGTGGGACACCCTGTATCATCCCCTCTGAAGTTTTCCCATTGATAAGATAAAATGGACCGTAGACTTAATTTAATATTTAATATTTAATAACTCGGTAAATTTTAAAGATATAAAGATGGTAAACCAAATTTTGGAAAGTTCATCTAATGATTTGACTCTCTATCTTTTTTTGATGCATGTCATTTATCAGTTATTGGAAATCAAAGACGATATTCAAGTTGTCTCTCAATTCCTATGTTTACTAAACACTTAACTTATGTTTATTTAGCTTGGTCAATGTGTGAATGATGTTGTGAAAATTACAAACCCAGGTAAACACATTATGTAATGTTTCCATGCAAGAAACACACATTTACAATGGTCGGTGTTATTATCTTTACCATGATGGAGACCTTTCTATTGAAGTTTAGATCTCTAAAAAGTTTTTCAAAATTAAAAGTTTACAAAGTAAGTAAAGAGAAGCTGTTAATATGTCAGCTTCCCTTTGTTTCCATGTTTGTTTGAATCCCATGCTGTTTGAAAGCTTGGTAGATTAAAACAATTAATGTCGAAAGTCGTCTTCATTGTTTTGATATATACGACGTCGCCAACTGTACAGTAAAACTAGAAAACTCTGGAATAGAAAGATATCCGTTAAATTCAAATTATGACTTTAGATAGACAAATAAGCACGGGAAACAGAAATTGTTCAGTTTAAACAGACTCATTTCACTTGATTTATGATTTAATAAGTGTGTAGTAAAACTATTTGATTTCTATCAACATCAAAAACAAAAAACAAAAAAGTATTGCTATAAACTAAAGTCGTCTTCCTATTTCGGAGTTTTCTGGTTATGACTGTAGCATCTTCAAATATTTACTGTAAAATAAAATATTAACACACGTATGAGTTTAAAATCAAGCATAAAAATATCTTAAAGTTAACAAGTTGGGAGAAAATGATTGTTGTCTGGGTTTGAACCAAATCTACCCCACTGGAATGAGGATAGCTGAATTAAATTTTGCAAATGATTTTTAGCAACTAAAATAAAAAACAAACAAAAAATAACAAGGCTTTCACCGAATAAATTTTTCTTCTCATAGATTAAGGATATTTATATCAATATTTCTTTCGTTTTGTTCTGTGATAGAAGTAACTTGAAAGTTAGATATAGTCTAGAACTAATTTACACTGAACTATTATAATATCACATCGTTCCAGGAAACCTACGTCTTGTGTGTGCAAAAAATGTACTGGATCGACTACTAGAGTTGAGCGTTTTCCTACTTTTTCGTTTCGTTCCGTTTGTGAAAGAACGATCGTTTTCTAGGAACAACGCCCAGCCCCAGACCTGGGCATGTTCCTTCTATTCTATCCTTCCGTGAAAGAACGATTGCTTCCCAGGAACGACGCCCAGACCTAACTATAACACACGTGGTAGCATATACCCACCTCCTCTGGTTCGTGAAAATGTATTTACCCTTACAATAGACTAATAAATTCTTGTACTGTTCGGATTATGCAACTATTGGACTGGGGTGGTTAATTCTAAATTGTTATAATTGATTGATCTGCAGGTGGTCCCTCCCCGCCTACGATCTGCGGTGTCAACACAGGTCAGCATATGTGGGTTCCTGCCTCCTCAGCCTGTAATCAGATCAATATTGATGTTGATACAGGGAAAACTACTCCCAGAAGCTGGACAATATCGGTAATTAAACATATCCTTCGGAAAACATTTCTGTTAGGCCCTTTCCTCATTGGAAAATTTCCAAATGGCTATTTTGCCAGGTCAATATTTACTCAATTGACTATTCTCCAAAATGTCAATTTAAATCATTTACAAGACTAGATTTCTAAGGCATACTAAAGGTCAGGTTTATAACCTTTATAGGTGTTACATGTTTTGGGTCCATTGCTATCCTAAGATACAATAGGGGACCAATTCGAGAAAATAGACACCAAGGAAATCGTACTTAATTATGAGATGTTGCCGCTTGTAAATGGGATATTGTGGGAATTGTGGAAAACATAAAAAATTTACATCTTTAACTTAAAGGGACTGTAAGCTTAATTTTCAAGTGACACGCCATACAAAGATGGAAATTCCTGATTTACACGGTACCCTTGAAACTTTAATCTGATTAAAAATGTGAAAAATATCGTCGTGTTTTTAACTCAAAAAGTATTTAATTCTTATTATTTCTCCATTGCTTCTTATAAGCAAAAATTTACTGTCTTGATTTTTTTAATAAGTTTTAAGACGACATTTCATGCGCTCTTGCTAAGTATTCTTATATGCAAGATTGGCTGTATCAAATCCAAATCCTTATTAAACCCATTGATAATTTGTAGGTTAAGCAGTTTGAATGTGGAAGCACATCTATGCCTCAGGATGACTGCCTTCAGTACCACACTGGTACATCAGGACAATTCTACTCATTTGCTTGGGATAAATCAGTCACTACACTTACCACAACTTCTCATACTCATTTAGCGTAAGCTATTTTCTTCAAAATAAAACCCCAGTATACCAAAATAAAACCCCAGTATACCAAAATAAAACCCCAGTATACCAAAATAAAACCCCAGAATACCAAAATAAAACCCCAGTATACCAAAATAAAACCCCAGTATACCAAAATAAAACCCCAGTACACCAAAATAAAACCCCAGTATACCAAAATAAAACCCCAGTATACCAAAAGCCAATAATATTTTAAAAGTTTCCTAAAGGGACTGTAGGCGTAATTTCAAGTGACCATCCATGCAAAGAGAGCAATGCCTGATTTACAACGGTACTCTTGAACCTTGCTTGAAAACAAAGTTTTTAACAATTTTAAAAGCGTTTTTATAGATTAATGAGATAGTCCGACAACCTTTCTCAGTCAAAAGTTTTTAGGGTACCGTCGTGAATCAGGCATTACTCTCTTTTTATGGAGGGTCACTTGAAATTACGCTTACAGTTCCCTTAAATCATGCTTTCAGGCGTCAGTATTATGACATTTGCTTCCGAAGAGAACGAGGATATTGTTCATTATGCTTTACACCTTATATAACCAGTGCTATAGCTGCTACTTATACTTCCTTCGGAGTGAGTACATCTGGAGATGCGGCAGCATCACAGTCAGCATTGTCTACTCTCTGTGGGAGTAAGTATTTAGCAAGCAATACAAGTTTTAACCAATATTTTCTCAAATATTTTCATACAGTGCTTAGGGTCCATATCTAATTTTGATGCGGATACGCACTGGATAAAATGGGTCTTGAACATTTCTTTAAGATTTGCTGATTTTTTTTTCTAACAAAGCAGAAATGTCAAATTATTTTTCTTTTTTTTTCGCTTATTCTTATGCTAAAACTTTATGAACCATTCAAAGATCAGGATATTTGTTTTACTATCTCTTTTTTCAACAGTTCAGATTTGGGGTTTTAGAGTAAATTTTAAAAAAAAGTTTTTGGTTGAAATTTTTTCCCTTGGATCCAGAATCAGGAGGCCAAAATCTTGCGGATCAAACGGATCAAATGCACTGATTTTCAAAAATTATTTAAAGCTTTTCCGAATTATTATTTGTTATTAAGAGAGTGCAGCAGGAACAACAGAGGCCAATCAGGATTATATTGAGGTGGTGAACCTTCAAGCTACTATTGGTACAACCAACACTGCTGGAGCAAACAAGTAAATTTTTATTTTCAAATAGTCCACTATAAGATCAAGAGCGAATAGGTGAAGATTGTATAATAATTGTGGAATTAAAAATAAAAAAACTGGAGAAAACTTGTGAAATGATAAATTTGGTTACAGTATTTTTTCTACAATTTCCCACTAATATCACTAATAATATTTTCATGTACAATTTCTAAATTTCCCCCATTTTTTTCTAAATAATCCCTAGGGATAAGATCCACCTGAATTCCATGCATTTAAGAAAATAATGTTTTGATTGCGCATTTTCTTGGCAAGTTTTGTGAATTTTGCGTTATCAAAATAAATTTATTTCATGAAAATATTTTTTTCATTTGAAATTTAAAATTTATTCTTAACACATCCCAAATAGATGGTATTTGATCGCAATGTGACATAAAATTACCAATGTACTGCTGATTTAGAAAGTGCGGGATATTATTTTTTCCCGCACTTTCTAAATCAGTCGTACATTAATAGTTATAATCAAGCATTTGTAAATGAAAATTCAGTAGGAATTGGACAGAATTTAACAAAATCAATATTGCAGAATCTGTGGGCAAAAGTTTGCAGGCGCCGACGGAGCCACTGTTCCAGCAACTGCATGTACATGGTCTTCTCCTTTCAGATGGGGAGTCAGGTTTTCAGATTCAGAAGGCCTTGGTCAGTTAATACCAAACTTGATTCGTAATTTATTATACTAGGCTTTTAGGGGGCTTCGCGCCCATCTTCTATTTCAATTGTGAACTAGTTCTCATTATAAAATTGAAAAACAAAGATAAAAAATTCGCGGATTTTATAAACAAAATTTGCGGATTTTCAAGATTTTAATTTTTTTTTACAAAAATAAAAAATTTTGAACACAAATTTTTAAATTTTTTATCATTCATCACGCGAGATCCCACAAAAATGTCAGATTGGTTCAGCTGTTTGACGTTTATTGGATACAAACAAACAGACAAACAAACAGACAGACAAGCCAAATTTATATATAGATTTATAACTTGCATATGAAATGTTCGATTTTTTCTTTAGCACAAGGTTTATGCTTGAGGACAAAAGAAAAGATTATGTAAAAATATAAGTTATATTTTGACCATAAATAATTTAAGCATTATCACAAATAAAAACTTTAGAAATTGCATTCTCTAAAAGTTTTCTTTTGTTGGATGTTCTTAACAAAACTTAAAGACAGACCACCCTTTTTTTTAACTAATTATGGCTCGGTTTATTTTAGAAAACTTTCAGATGATACAGCTTTGAAATATTGAAAACTTCTTATATTTTTGAGACTCATTAAATGTTTAAAATCTTTTAATACAAATTGTTTGTATTTAGCTATCACTGCAACTGCTACTCCTGCAAATAATGAATATGAAAATGAGGGAGTTGGAGGAAATGGATACATGGGATTCTATATGGACTGGTGGCAGAACACGTGCTAGATAAGCTGATACACTCACTTGTTGCATAACGTGTGTTAGATCAGCTAATATTCAACTGTTTTGCTTTATAAAATGTTTTTTGTTGTTTTTTTATGTCTTGTTCTTTTTATATTCACTCAGTAGCCTAAAATAAATTGTATCAATTGTTTCAGTTTGTTGGGTTAGACCATATGCACTGAATAAAGTTATGAAATCTGTAAACCTTCAATCGGTGGTTAAACAATGGCTCCTGAATTTATTGTTATCTTGATGATCGTAATAAGTTCAGGATTGTGTCATGATTGATCAGAGGTTGGAACAATTGGCTTAAAAGGGCGTTTTATAGAACTTATTAAAATATTGATTTACACATTTATTTTTCCAAATTAAGGTAGGATAAGTAACCATTTATGCCCAACAGCGGCACATTCATAATTAATAAAATATTTATTCAAATAAAAAAAATTCAAGAACACTCAAAATGTAATGTAATAAATAAAGAGGATGTCAATAATTTAATCATAATAATACAAAAGCAAAACAATCAAAATACAATTCTATTTCTCAAGAAAAATTTTAAAAATTTTAAAATTATTTATTATGCTGAAGAAATAAGAATGAGAGAAAAAAGATGCAATGTCTATTTTTAAAACTCATTACGATGGATTATTAGTTTTAGCATTTATTTTTAAAGGTACATCTAAATGTCTTCGTCCTGAAAGAAATAAACCATGAAGATTGAAGAGATGGGACATTTAATAGAACTAGGCCACACGAGCTGGACGAGAAAAACAATAAGTTGAATAACCAGCTCTCTGAAAGAAAAATACAGAGACAGTTGTATCCAAAGACTTTTTTAATTATGAAGACGAGGCTTTGGAAATGAATCTATGTAAGAAAGTCCTGGGAAAAAAGTTTCTGGAAAAAACACCTGGAAATAAAAACTTTGGAAAAGAAGTCCGAATTTTCTCACGTCCTTGGAAATAATGTCACTGGAAATACAGTCCTGTGTTTTGGATTCCTGTGACTTTTTTCCCTAAAATAGTATGGGGGCTGCCAATAAAGTCTAAGGAAATAAGATCTCAGAAAAAAAGTCCTTAAGAAAATAAATCCGAGGAAAAAAGAAGTCTCGGGAAATTTGAACTCAGTAATTTAAGTCTGCGGAAAAAAAGTCCTAAGAAAAGTTGTGTACAAAATTACAAAATTATTGATAGGATGTTTACAACCAGGACTTCTTTCCATTGTGAATCACGCATTTCACTTGTCAGAGGACTTTTTTGTATAAAATCAAAATGCGATAAGATAAACCTTAATTGCGTAAAAACCGGCCATGTATTCATGAACAAAGTTCCACAGAAAAGCATTATATGAAAGATATCTCTACAATCCATGAGAAAATTTGGTGGTTTAGTGCTAAAAATACTTTATTCGCCAAATATATGAAGATGATACAAAAATATCCATTATACATATTAAATACAGATTATCGTGTGCAATCATTTATTCTAAGTTAGGGGAATCAGGTTTACTAAAATACTGGATTAAATTCAACAATATTTTGATTTTATTAAATAGTTAGAACGCAAAATGAACAAAATTCTAAAGCTGGTCAGATTTCAAATAAAAGGAACTAAGCTAAATCAAATAACGTCAAGTTCGAATGCCGGCAAAAGAATAACATAACAAAAGAACAGCACGTTGTTTTAAGCAAAAAATTTGGCACGTAGCGACTTAATTTAAAGAATGCATGCATAATATTGCAGTTACTGATGGAATTTTTGAAAAATTCTTATCGATTTTTGTTGTTGTAAAAGTGGTTATTTTGTTCGCACATTTTCTTAGCTTTCACGGGATTTAAATTGGGTTTAAGCCACATAATTTCATTTTTGCAGGGTGTCAATATATAATAATTATGTATACTTATTTCTAAAAAAATATTTTTTAATTTATGTTAAATATCAATATTGATTTAGGAATACAAATTACGTTGAGGAAGTAACTATTAAAGGCAGGAGGTGAGGGGGGGGGGAGACCCCCTTTTTTACTTCTTCCAAGCAGAGTATATTTAGCTTCTATAAATGAAGAACTTGTCTTCTAGAGTTGTTACTGGGTTGCCTCCTAAAATAAAATTAATTATTTATAACTATATTAAAGGGAAGTTCAGGGAAATTTTACTCTACGAAGGGTTCTCAAAACCAAAATTGGTCGAGGGAACCCGTGGTTGAGTGAAATTTAAAATTTTCTAAAAAGCAGTTGTACACAATCTTTTCGTCATTTGAGATGAAAATCCGAGATTTTTTCGCGAAAACTTTGCAGAACAGGTGGTTATTTTACTTTATTGCCCAAAGGGACGTTAAATTATAGGTCGGTAATGTTGGTCAAAAGGTGGTAAAAGAAATATCCGCAATACAAATACCTGACTGAAAAGATATGTGAATTAGTTTGGATTATATTATACTAAGAGCAGGGGTGTATAATTTATATTCCTATTACTTTGATTCTTTAGTTGATTTATCTTCGGCAATGTTAAAAAAGTCGCGCTAATGGTCCGTAGGGTGTTGCGGATGGCGAATAAAAATTATTTGCAATAGAGGGGGGGTGGTGGGGGAATAATTTTTTTAGAAAATATACAACCCTTGGGGTGTGTGCACCTGGAAAATCCCTCCTCCTTTTTTGGGACATTTTACTCCTATATAAAATTTTTATATGGCTGTTTAAATCTGAATGTTGCAACAATTTTAACAAATGGAATAAATTTTTTTCCAACCTATGATCATGATGGTCTAGGGTATGCTCAGCAGTAAGATCTCTGATCTCATCCTCGTCCTCCAGATCTTCAGACTCAGTTCTAATACAATCCAAATCAATCCAAATCAACTTAAATCAACCTAAATCAACTTAAATCAATAAATCAATAAATCAATAAATCAATAAGTCTATAAATCAATCAATTATCAATTAATCAATTAACCAATCAATCACTTAATCTCCCCCAAATTTTAGTTCTAAGCTTTATACCTGGAGTGTGTGGAGGATGAGAGGATAGACTGATGCGACATATTTGATGTTCTAGAGAATGAGCCGCGGCGTGGACCCATGCTGGTGCGCTGGTTTGCCGGTTTCACGGTTACAATCAGGTTCGAAGAGTTCGCAACCATCATATCTGTCACCTAGAACACAAATATAGTCTTTAAAGGTAGTTGTGGGTCTCCCGAGTTCCCGAATCAAAATTTGAGGCAAATCGGTTAAGGGGGTTCCTGAGTAATGATCAGACAAACAGACACAGACAGAGATTACAACTATGTATATATATATAGATACTTTGACAAAGATTATAAATCAGTAAAATATAAACTAGAAATTAGAAATAGGTAAATTCTGGTGTGATTTTGTGAACTCAGGCCCCATTTAATTTTAATTTCACGCAGAAGCATGGGGAAAGAAATCTATCCGATCATATTAAAATTCTAAAATATTTTTGTTCTTCTCAATAGCTCTTTAATAAGAGGAGTTATAATTTAAAACACAAGATTATAGTCTTGCATGAAATTTACTTTTGTTTGGCGTGAGTACCGTAGGATTAGAAAATACATGTAAACCTGTTTTAATCTGAGAAGCAAGAATTTTAGAGTTAAAAATTCTCTTGTGAAGGGGACTGTAAGCGTAATTTTAAGTGATGGCAATGACCGATTAACAACAGTACCATTGCATAAAACCATTCATTATCTGATCACTTTTGTAGAGAAACCACAATTGAAAATAATCGATTTATAAAATGATAAAGATTGATATCTAATTAATACTTGGTCAGACAAAATAGTCTTTAAATGGAGGTTTACTTGAAATTACACTTACAGTCCCTTTAAGAATTTGAATTTATTAGTTTTACCTGATCCAATGATTTGCCTGCGACCTCTATACCATTGACCTCTAGAACCTCGTCATTAACAGCCAGAAGGCCGGTACTCTCCGCCAATCCTCCAGGAACAAGACGAGATATAAATATTCCAGGAACCTTCTCCAACCCCTTCAATATACATCATTATAACAGGGATAAATTATCTGTAAAAAAAATCTATTTTATTTTTTAGCAGAAAATAAATGAATTTTTCTATTGAAAGTATAAAAAAGGTGAAGCAAACACTCGCCTTTTCATGGTGAATTTATCATCCCCCCCTCCCGGTATTATTATTCAAAGTGAAGATTATTTATTTCCCAAAATCATCAAAAACCTCTCCCCCCCTCTCCACCCAGGATCAGGGGGAGAATTTAGAAAATTATACACCCCCTGTTCTACATTACTGGATTATCAGTTTTCAAATCTACCCACCAAAATGCAAGTTTTAACCCCTTTAGATTAAATACAGAAAATACCTAAAAGAAAAAACGCTTCGCTCAAAATTAACAAAAAATTGGGAAAAAAGAAAATTGTTAAAAAAAGGTTTATTTTCATTGCTAATAAATAAAAACAAAAATTCTGATACTATCAAACTTTTTTATAACCTGAGGTGTTACTCGGACACTGGTTCCGTCTCTTATATAGAAACCAAGAGGTTTGTCTGATCCATGTTTCAACAGTTTTACACGTCTAAACATTAAATTAATAATTTACATTATTCGTTATAAATAGCGGAAGGGCCCGGCGTTGCCCGTGGAATATAAAACAATTTTGAAAAAATCTAATTTTTTAGCCTATGTTACTCACAGGGCACCCAATATTTAGCTAATTTGGTGCAGCCGTTTAGCCAGCTAGCTAACATATGTCATATATATGAGTAAGGGGCTTTATTACAGATGTTCCATAGTGTAAACGTCTATCTGAATAACAATAAGAAAGATATCGTTGTTTATCTATGTAAAAAAGTGATGAATTCTGACAATTTCCGTTATTCTCATGCCAACATAAATCCTTAATTCACACAGAGCCCCATGTGAAAATTATCATTTTTTGTTTGAAAAATAGTGATATTTTACTCATCCTTGGCCAAACAAAGATTAGAAAAGTAACTATGTTGTGAATCGAATATACCAATCTTTAAAGCGAAAATTATATTAAAACTTAAATTATCTAATTTAATTCAAAATCAATTTTACAAATACTTAAAGAAGGAACACGCAGTCAAAGATTTGATTTTAAAATTTCATAGCTACATTATAGGAAAGTTAAGAAAATAAAATTTACCACTTTACCTCTCTCGCCGATAAAAACCTCGAAAGTAAATATTTAAAAAATATATCCCCATCCAATCGGGATTCAATGTGGTAGGTGGGGATATCAGGGTTGTATACGTAAAGTCTCTTAAAAAATCACACACACCCCCCCTATGAAAATTATGTTTTCATCTAGAGTTTAAGGTATGTTTAGCGTGCCGAAAACAAAATTCAGGGTTTTCTTGGCTGTGTTTAGCAAAAATAATGAATTTTAGATGTGGAAAAGTATCAACAAGGATAAAAACTTGTCTTTTGAGGTCAAATTTTTTTTTTTGCCCCCAATTCATCAACACTGGAGTTGGATGATGATATTTTTTGGAACTAATTAGTTCCCCAATTCAGTGAAAAAGGCCCTTTAACATTCCAAACGTACTGGGAAATAGGATTTTCGGAGAAGAGGCGGGGTCGGGGGCACTTTTAGTGCGCAAAAAATATGTTGAGCCCCCCTTGGCAACATTGTGCCCCCCCCCTTAAAACCCCTTTTTTGAAAAAATATTGGTACCTTTTTTAATTAAATCAACTATTCGATCATGGAAGTGTGTACCATGTATAACAAGTGTTAATACATTATTTATGTAATTTTCTTAAATGGACTTATCAGACGCTTCCTCTTAATACTGTGGTGTAAGCTTCAATAGTTGAAAAATATAGAGCTGGAAACGATTCTTAAAAAAATATCTATTATTTCATAGAAACGATACATATTGTATAATTATAAATAATAATATCAAAAATAATTTACACTGAAGGCAGTATTGATAAAAAGCTTTTGTAATGAAACAGTTAAGGGAAAAAGTGAGATCTTTAAGTATTTTTCATATGGGTGTAGGGGGGGGGGCACCCCCACCCTCGTACGCCCCTGGGGGGATNAGATCGACGTCAATGATATCAGAGACTTGTCTAAACTCCCTCGTGTTGGAGATTGTCAACATGGGTTTATGCTGCTTAGGGGTTCCAAGGAACGTTCCCAAAAATGTCCCTGGGACAATAACGCATTCAGATTAAAAACATATCAAACAATCAATTCGAAATAAAAATGAGAAAGTTTTTAATGAATATTTGAAAATCTGAAAACTCAACATATTTTCTAAATTTAAATTCACTCTTAAAAATTTGTTCCCAAAATATATTTAGTTAATATACAATCAATTAATTCATAAATGCGTCATTCCTGATTTAGATCTCATCAAATCATCGTACGCTTCTCCCTCCCTTTGAATAACTAGACGTAACAACGGCTTTGCGTTACGCAGAGCTGCAAAATAATTATCGTCATTGGTGATCGGCAGAAGATCGTTATCCCGCGGATCGGCGTACTTCACAAAAAATGGCGTTTTCTGCAGATGATGAAGCTCTGACAATAAATATTTAAAACTGTCGTAGGATTGGAATTTGGACTTCTCCAGAGAAAATCTGCGAAATTCTGCGTCAAACTTAGACTTTACTTCCACAGCTCCATCAAAATGGAGGGAACGGCTGGATTGGTTCATTTTATGGAGATTTTTAGTTTGTTTTAATAATTTTAACTTTTCACTTGGATTTTCAAGGAACTCTTTCACAAAATTTTCATTTTTTTAAACGTTTCACATTCATGTTTTCTGAAATCAAAATATAAATCTAATATAAACTAGAAATTCAAGGCGCTTCGCGCCCTTCTTTCTAGCCTTAGAGGGCGCTTCGCGCCTATAAAGATAGATAGATAGAAGGCAGGTAAGATATGAATATAAAACTTGAACAGGGACCCACAGTTTTCTTTTTAGAATCCAATGTATTTTTCTCTTAATAAAAAAATTTAGATTTTCATAAATGTTGAACTGAGATTTAAAAAATTTAAATTTTTTTATTAAACTATAGGGCCCTATATCTAAAACGGCTCGCTTGCTCATCAGTGTACACTAGAAGAGGAAAACACAACAAGTTTTAGAACTTATGATCACCTAAATGAAAATATTCTAACTGACGAAGAAAACAATATATATTTATTTATTTAATTGTTTTATTTTAATTATAGAAAAATGACTACAGAAGATCATCAAAGAATCACGGCAGAGGTTTTAAATCGGGAAGAATTTCTTACTTTTCAGGTTTGCTTAAATCCAATTCCTTTAACATCGAGTTACTTCGCAACAACAAAAATAAGGCTTTATATAATGAGAACCAGACATCCTGAAAATTTGTGTTTTGATTAAAAAAGTTTTATTTAGCATTTTTATATAATTTTGTAACAGAACTGTTTGTATTAATAGTAATTATGCCATGAACAATTTAAAGATCAGGGTGTCCCACGAAACATTGCAGTCTTCATATAATATTTATCACTAGTTGCAAAATCCAATGATTGCATATATTAAAAATCCCTCAACGTTTCAGGAGCATAAAGAAGAAAATGTAAGCTGGTAGGTGCTATGGAAATTAAATTTTAAAAAGATGGTATATTCCTAGTATACGATTTTTGGACCCCCCCCAGGCCCTTGAACACCTGAGCTTACTTCTATCGGTTGCGTCTATAAGGAGAAAATTGTTAAAAA